CCTATAGGGTGGCTGAGTCGGAATCGATTTGACAGCAACAGGGTTTTTTTTTTTTTTGGCAGGGGTTGGGGGGCAGTTTCCAGGGGTGGAATATCATGGCTGCAACCTTCCTTTTTTATCTAACTAACCAGTAAAACCAGTAGCTGCCCAGCTGATTCTGACTCATGATGACCCCGTGTGTGTCAAAGTAGAACTATGCTCCATAGGGTTTTCAATGACCGATTTTTCAGAAATAGATCACCAGGCCTTTTTTCCAAGGCACCTCTGTGGGCTCAAACCTCTAATCTTTTGGTTAGCAGCGAAATGAGGGACTCCACCTTTCTTATCTAGGATGATCACAATAATGCTAATGACCCTCCTCTGGTGCTTATAACGTGCCAGGCACTGCACTGAGCACTTTACATACACTGCTGCATGTCATCATTAGAACCACCTGGATGGTTCTTATCATCCTAGTTTACAGCTGAGGAAATTGACACCTTATCTGAAGTCAATCAGCTGGAAAGAGTTGGAGATGGGACACAAGCCCACTTGTATCTAAAATTTTAAATGTTACAGACATCTAGAAACAACTGCTGTGTTCCATAAGTGAACCCCCTCCCCAATCCTGGGGAAATGCTCAATTGCCCTCTGGAGCATCCAAATTCTGGGTGGCATCTCTTTTCCTGGTGCCAGGCTCCTAGATTCTTGAAGATCTCTGTGAGGGGCTGAGACCAACAGCTCCAGGCAGGGGAAGGCAAGATTAGGAGACCATGCATCTCAGAATTCTGGAGAATCAGAGCCAAACATATCAGAGCCTGTCTCTAAACCAAATGTCTTGGCCTTGATCTCAGTCCTAAGCCCCTCTGGCCTTCAGGGATATTCCTTGCCCTTACGGGTATGAGGAAATGAAAACAGAGATTAGCCTGTGCCCTCTTGCCTGTGGTGCTCAAACTTCCCTTCAATGCCTCAATGAATCATAAGCTGTTTGTTCTGAAAGAGGCTTTAGAGATCAACCAGTCCAATCCCTTCAATTAGTCCATTACACATCAACAGTAGTTAATGCTAGAGCCACTAGGATGCTTGCTTTCTCTTTGTCTTGGTAAAAGGTCATCTTTCCATAAAACAAGAATTGAAAAGTTATTTGCCTTGATTGCAAAACACAGAAAAGAATCATACCACCATTGTGCATATACATCAAGCATCTCCATCCAACCTCGTCTTAACTATTTTGATCCATCTGCAGTACCCCCTTTTGTGGCAGGGGCATATAGGTGGGCAGAAGTGGGTAGAGAACAGAGTGATGCCTTTCCCTAATGCTGAGAACAGAGACTGCTGCTGCTGGCTTGCTCTTCTGCTTTCTGATCTGGAACCCCCAGCATCTCTGCCATGTTCAAGGCCAGCAGCCATCTGTTTTGTTTGCCAGGCTCCATATCTGCCTGACCCATTGGCAGTCAGAGCTAAGCCGATCCTTTCAACTGCTGGCTGCTTATCCGGGACATATGATTTGTGGAGAAGGGCCTGCCAAAGAGGAGCCAAGAAGTTCCTTCTCAGCACGCCTGCAGATGAGGGCAGCAGCACTGACACACCAGGTCAGCCCCAGAATCTCATGCCCTTACTCTCCATTTGGGACAGCAAACATCTGTGCTCTGTGGCTACCACAGGCAATGAGCAGAGAACAGGCAGAAAATGCCTGTAGAAAGTAGAAGAGATCACTCTTCCTTCTATGCCCGTTGCAAGGAGCCAGCCAGGCCTGCTCACCCACACTGCCACTGTCAATTGCTCACTTTCTCTGGGACCCACAAGAAGCAAGGCCACCTAAGCAGCCCATCTCCTGGGCTCCACCCTCCCCTCGACCCCTCTTTAGGAATCAAACCCCTGGTATGGACAGCAGGGTAGGTTCCCATAGCAATGGGCCTTTTAGCTGTTTCCATGGCAACCAACACCCAGACCATTTAGTTGCTAGTCAAAAGACAGCTGTAAGTGAATAGGATTCAGTTTCGAATCTTAGGGATAGACTAGCGGATTCTCTTCATAGAAAAAGACACACCACTCAAGACAACTCAACTCCTCTAAAGACTTTTAGGCAATATCTGCCTAGATCCAGATAACACCCACTTCCATGCTCAACACACACAATCACCCCTCATCTGAGTATCCTAGGCCTTTAAACAAGGCAGACCCCAAGCTCTACTTCCTGCTGTGTCCTTTCCAAAGGCCCTAGGGAAAACACACCCTGCTGTCTCCCTATCCCCAGAAGAGTCCTCATATCATTCAGCTCCTTTGAGGTTAACAGCTACCGGCCCTGCATTTCATACTACTCTGCCAATAACCAGTAACACTTGTGGTGGGGGGTGGGGTGGGTAGAGTGATTATCACTATAGCAACCCAGGTAAATTTCTCACCCACAGCTCTTTCCTCTGTACCAATGCTCTTGCTATGTACCAAGACCTTGTCTTCATACAAGCCAGTCATTTAAGTATAATTTGCTTTCTGGATCATGTGAAGTAAATGGCTAATCCCAGATCATCTTCCCTTAGCCTGAACCTCACCTATTTCAGGCCACCCTGCTTATGTCCGGGGGTATTTTATCAACCCATGCAAAGCATGGTTCAGATCAATCTGTATCTTTTAAAAATTCAACTCAGATTTCAGAACCAAGCATACAAGATTTGAAATTACTCCATGCTCATTGCCTTTCATTAGCATGAAGATTTGGCTAAACAATAGGCCTCACACTCCAACTGGAGATACCAGGTGTTGCGTGCTCTATTCTGTAAGCAGAATAAACAGCGACCTGCCCTGGAATTCATGCGAGAGTTTTGTCTAAGCCTCCACAGCCTGCTCAGCGGACTAGAAAAGCATGAGACTGTCACTGGAAAGAGCAAGACCTTTTTCAATATAAATAGCCTAAGACACAGCACTTCTCAATGTTTTAATGACTCAGGGGGTGACTGGGAACTGTCTGTACAGGAGACAACCTTTCAAACTAATCCCCCCATGGGAGCCCTCACCTAGCTCCCTGCTGTAGGCTCCACATAGCCTCACAATGGCTGGTAAAATAGTCACAAGCTATTGTGTTACCCTGCTGCTCTGATGGAGGGCGATACACTGGCTGAACTGCTTTTCTTCTCCATCTTCCTTTAACACATCAGGGCAGAGAAGTATGAAATGCAGGGTAGCTGTTAACCTCAAAGGAGGTGAATGACATGAGGACTCTTCTGGGGATAGGGAGCTAGCAGACAACTCGAGAGCTGAGCTTTCTAGTACCAGGCACCTCAGAAAGCCCCTGTGCACAGAGGACAGCCTCATTTTTCTGAAGAGACATATAGTCACACATCAGATTGAACCTTCTGGTTTTTCTGCTGTTTCTAGGTGAGGAACAACATCCATCTCCTAGAACAATAGCTAACATTTACTGACTGTATGCTATATGCTGGGGTTATTCTAAGTGTTTTACATGGATCATCTCTTTTAAAACAACTGTCCTGTTATAATCCCTATTTAACAGAGAAGGAAAGTGAAGCACAGAGATTAAGTGATTTAAAGATCACACTGTTAATCTTTTTATATTGGTGGAGCCAGAAGTCAACCTCAGGCATTCTGTAAGCAGAGACCAGTGCAATCAATAACCAAGCTATCACCTCTGGAATGCACACAATTCTGATGCACCTAGGGTCAGGGATGGGGTGGGCTGTCCCTCTAGAAACAATGTGATAGGATACACACAGGGGTGGATTATCCAATAAGCAAGTTAAGTACGGTGCTTACCTTACCTTGCTTACCAGATCATGCAGATTAGTTAGTAAGCACAAGTAAGCCTGTGCTTATCTTGCTTACTGGGTCATCCGTCCCTTTCAGGGATTATAAATTTAAAAAGAGGTGTGATTTTGTAGGAAGGTGCTGTGGGGTTGGGAGAGAGACAGATGCCAGCTATACCTAGAAGCAGAACATTTGATGTGGTGAAAAAAAGTGAAATTGTTCACTAAAGATGATCTGGCAAGCAAGGTAAGCACTGTGCTTACCTTGCCTATGGGATAATCCGCCCCTGGATCCACAAAAGATCTTAGCTAAATAGAGTGGTTGAATGCCTCCACGAATTCACAAGTAAATCTTGGCTGTTGAGAACTTTATTCCTGATCTATTGCTGTCCCCTGGTGGTTTTCCTGGGAAACTCACAGGGCAAAGAAATCCAAGGGTCTAGTACAATGATTGGAGCCCTGGTGGTACCAGTGGTTAAGACCTCAGCTGGTAACCAAAATGTCGGCTGTTTGAATCCACCAGCTGCTCCTTGGAAACCCTGTTGGCAGTTCTACTCTCTCCTATAGGGTCGCTATAAGTCGGAATTGACTCAACGGCAGTGGGTTTGGTTTTTCTTGTTTTTTTTAGTACGATGATTGGGAATAACTAAACCAAACAAATTATTTGCTTCACTCATACTCTGTATGAGCTCAACTAAGAAACTAGTTCCTTTCTTCTTCCCCAACATAAAGACAGATAACCTTCCAAAGTTCACATTACTCATTTGTGAATAGGGTTCTAATCCCTGACAGCTAACAGTTGATTGATTCAAAGCTCACAGCAAAGTATTTACTCCAGTTATACTTTGTCATGGATTGAATTGTATCCCCCCAAAATACCTGTCAACTTGGCTAGGTCATGATTCCCAGTATCGTATGACTGTCTACCATTTTGTCATACGATATGATTTCCCTATGTATTGTAAATCCTATCACTATGATGTAATAAGATGGATTAGTGGCAGTTATACATCTACAAGATTAGACAGTGTCTTAAGCCAATCTCTTTTGAGGTACAAAAGAGAGAAGCGGGCAGAGAGACATGGGGATCTCATACCACCAAGAAAGCAGTGCCGGGAGCACTTTGGACCCAGGGTCCCTATGCAGACAAGCTCCTAGTCCAGGGGAAGACTGGTGACAAGGACCTTCCTCCAGATCCGACAGAGAAAGACTGCCCCTGGAGCTGACGCCCTGAATTTGGACTTCTAGCCTACTAGACTGTGAATAAATAAATTTCTCTTTGTTAAAGCCATCTACTTGTGGTATTTCTGTTATAGCAGCACTAGGTAACTAAGACTTCCTTGTACTTCAAAAGAGGAGGAAACCCCAAGGTTTGGTAATTTAGTTACTACCTGTTACAGTATTTCATTTTTCCATTGGCCCTATGGCATCTAACTTCACATTTCATCTTTAAGCGTTTAGGTTTTCCTCATCATGGCAGAGGGTTCCAAAAGATCACTGTGTCTCCCAACATGCAACCCCTAGCCCCTACTTCTATCCTTGAAATTCAGTTTCCTCAATCCTTCAGAAGAAGGATGTTATTACTCAACTAGATGATGTTTGCTTTCATTGCTTCTTTCAAGCATGATTGGTGGCTCCAACAACACAAATATAAGTCACAAGTTTGTGTAAAATAAAGCAAAACAAGGAGGTCACTTTGTATAAAGTAGGTAAGTAAGGTCTAACTGGGCAAAAAGGGGAGAAAAGGCAGTTTCTGAAAGTCAGTGCACTACAGGACCATGCCTGAGTGCTGTTAAGAGCTTCTGCCTAGAACTGGGTGTCCACCTTCCACGGACCTAGGGACATACTCTGACTGAAAGAAGCAGGCAACTATAGCCCAAAGGCGGAAGACAGGACTGACAAGTTTTTATTCAAAGGTATATTTCTAGGTGTATAAAGAGGCCACAAGTTAATGTTCTTAAATCAAGAATCTATTAACCAAGTGCTATATTAAAAAAAAATCTAAGAAAAAGAAACATGAGACAATCACAGAGAACCAGCCATCCAGAGCTGAATTTCTGTCGTAGAACCTCCCCTCCAATGAAACACTGGACACCATTAGAGAGCAAGTCATGGCTGTTGAAGCAATGGAGCTGGAGGTGCTGACTTGGCCAGATGCACTGAACTCAGTGAGGCACTTGAAGATGAAGAATTTGTAGCTGTAATATCCCAGCTGGATAGATGTGGCTTGGACCTGTCCTCCAATGTGAGGGCCAACAACCCTAGAGCAAGTTATCTGATATCCCTAAGCAATCTCCTCAAGTCCTGTCTGGTTGCACCCTCCCAATTACTACTGCAAAGAACACTGGAGACAATTAACCAATCCCTTAGTCCCACAGTCTTACCTCTCTTCTTTCCTTCAACCCTTTTACAAAAGGTGTCATAAGGAAACAGTTTTGAGCTTTCAGGAAACAGGGTCTTAGATTGCTTTTGGAGGCTGAGGGGTATAAGACAGCAGTTTGGAAATTTCCTTTCATCTTATGGCACTGATTTAGTTTCAGACTTGATTTTTCCTCTCCTTTGTCCCCTCCCCCTACCTGTGCCCTCTCACCCCCAGACAGACATATTGGCATCAAATATCTCTAGGATATGATCTCTAATGGGATTTTCCAGCAGAAGAGACGCTGTCCTTTGTCATCCAGAAGTTCCCACTCCACCACCAGTTTTATCTGGAGAAAGAGAAAAGAAATTGGGAAAAATGAAACTAGGACCTGACCTCAATCCATAATTGGTTTACAATCCTGGGTAGATTGTAACAAACTGCCTAATTCCTCATATTTTTCTTTTTTAAGTCATGACATAATGAAGGTTACTTAGGATGTGGGCAGAACCTGTGTCCTTAAAAATTAGAAGAATGAACCAAGTTATGTCTATGATTTGGCATTAGCAGCACCTCAGACTAACCTAATGACCTTACCAAATACAATTTCTAAAGCATTCTTTTCTCTTTCAGATCAATGATAGATAAGTGAAGCCTTACATGAAAAATAATTTTACATTCAATTTCTCATGTATATGGCAATGTGATCCAGCTTTTTCCAACTCTAACCATGAAGACCAGAGAGTAAAAAGGCTAGATTCTTAGATAAAAAGAAACTTTCTTATTAGTTGGAAATGGAAATGTCAAAGCACAAAGGATGGTCCAAAGGCATTTATAGCGATGTGAATAATTTCAGTGAGAACAATTCTTTGTAGCAATATAAATTCAATTAATTTCCTTAAACTATTTTCTAATAATTTATCTCTTTATAGACGTCTGCCTTGACTTGTTACACCCCTATTATGGCTGTCTCCTCTAATTCTTAATAATTCACCAACCTATGGTCGGTCCTTTCTTATGTGGACATTAGCTTGCTTGTCATTAGTTATTACTTCTCTTTTATACTCAAATGCTTCTTCACAACACAACATTTGAGGGACAATGCTTCTTGAAACTTGTTTTGTAAGTTTTTCAAGACTAGTTAGTACACATTAATTATTGTTTCACTTAGTGCTTAAACTAACGGAGTTTGAGCTGTTTTTTCAAATTAAACGTAATTTACTTAAAAAATAACTAGTCATATCCTGACTGACACCCTGCATGCTTAACTGAGGTTCAGAAATTCCCATGATTAGATGGATACTCTGCAAATTAATCTACAAACCTGTCCCTGACCTTTAGGGTCTCCAGCATCTCTTAGGCACAGACTCTATATCAGAGTCTCTTCAGAAAGTCCTTTAATTACTTGCTTTTTCTAGAAAATAAATGGTCAGATTGCTCCTAGGTTCACTTGACTTCCTTTCAAGAAATACAGCCATTTTTTTTCCCATGGAAAAAAGTAATCTCTTTACTTCTTCCATTCTTATCAAGCTTTATACCTTTAATACAAAGCTCACTCAGGCAGGATCTAATCTCACAAGAGCCTGGTAGAAAAAGAAGTAGGTCTACCAGAGCAGGTCTGAGGTGGAAGTGGGAGAAAAAAGAGTGGAAAAAGCTACCTCTTTACTATGGAGCTAACAAACTATTGCTCTTTTGTTAAGAGATTAATGGAGACACTAGATTTTTATTTATTTTTTTATTACTATGCTAAGACAACTTGGATCTTGAACTATTTTGTATCTAGTTAACATCTTTTAACATTGTACACAGACTTTGGAGTCACAAGACTCAGCTCTAAGTCTAGGCTGTACTATTTACTAGTGGAACAGATTCTGTCCATATTGCATAACTTCTGAAGTTCAAATTTCTTCATCTGCAAAACAGAAATAATATTACCTCTACATAGGGTGGCCACAGGAATCAAATGAAATGTTACATGTAAAAATGGCATCCCTAGGCCTAGGCTAACCATTAGGCCATAGTCAAAGAACAAAAGGACACAACAAAAAACAGCTTCCCTACTACATGATTCCTAACAATCAAACCTATCTACTTTTCCTCAGGCTTCCGCCTCCTCATCATACAGATGAGGAACCCTGGGACCCCTTATCCCAATCTTTGCTTCTTGACCCCTCCGCTTGGATTTTCAATCCAGTCACAGGCCTCCAGGGTCAACAACAATGTCACTTACAGAGGGGTATTCATGCTTCACTGGTAGTTTATTCACATAGTAATAGGTCTTGTCTTTTTGGATGGGGCAGTCGATTCCACTCTTACAACCATCAGGCTCAGGAATGGGAAAGGGAACTGGGAGGCCCATCACAATGCCATGCACCGAGGCTGTGCTATTTCTGGAAAAAGTATCTACAGATGGGGGGAAGAAAAACAGGATCAGATTGTAAAGGAAACAGCCTATTTCCAAACTCTAAATAAAAAATTTGGATGTATTCTCAAGATATGGCACTGCTATAAAAGCACACCATAAAGCCTGCACTCTTGATTCCCAGGGTCTATTTCTCTTTGTAGTTATGCTTAGTACCAAGCACAGGCCAAGCATTCACTCTAAAACATGAAATATTAATGAATTATTGGGAAGAAAAAAAAAAAAGCAGCAATACACAGGAGTTGTTTTTGTTGCTCTAACCCCAGTTGGCTCTTCACTGCCTTTCATAGTTTTTCAGGAGAATCAGAGATACCTGGATAAATAACCTTATCCAACAAGGTAACCAATCTTTGGCAGAAAATTTTAATCAGTTTCTGTCAGAGTGTATTGTGTGTCTTAAAGAGTTTTAGATGATTGGTTTCTGAATTCTCAAATACCCTGTCCCCCATGTCTGCCCAGAGGATTTCATTAGAGATTAAGAATTCAATGGATAGCAATATAGAAAGAGCATGGAATAAGGAGTTCCCATAGAAATGCCATGGGCTGTAACAATGGTGAAACAAGTAAAACCTTTAGAAATTGGGGAAGATTAGAAAGAGGCAGCACATTTCTTATGAACCTCCACCTGGCATATCACAAGACAGGCGGAGATCTTTGGCAAGAGGGATAAAGGTACTATAAAATTAGAGCAACCAGCGTTAGAAGCTGTTAGCGTATTCTGGAGATTCAGAGAGTATCGGTTCTGTTTCTTTCTTTCTCTCTGGTTTGGGGATGGCTTTTTTTTTAGAAGGCAATTTTATTTTTTGGGTTTGGAACAACAGAGGGGCCAGGTTATAGTTCAAAGGGAAAATAGGGAGCTAGTTCTTGAAGCTGTCTTTAGGCTTAAAAACAAGAGAAGACAGGAACTTTTAGGTTTCTTATCAGACTGTTTAGTCTAGTTCCATAGGATAGAAAATAGGAGGAGGAGTCAAGGCAGATGGACTGTCCAGAAATAAACATTCTGCATTTGTCTAGATTTTTGGGAGTCTAAAAGTGATGAATGTGGTACAAGAAAGCAACAAGTTCCAACAATATTTCTTCAAGTTGAAGAAGAAAGCTCAGATTTTTTTTTTTTAACAGTACTTTAGATGAAGGTTTACTGAACAAACTAGCTTCTCACTAAACAATGAGTACACATACTGTTTTGTGGCATGGGTTGTCAACCCCATGACATGTCAACATTCTCCCCTTCTTGACCTTGGGTTCCCTATTACCAGCTTTCTTGTCTCCTCCTGCCTTCTCGTCCTTGCTGCTACGCTGCTGTGTCCATTTAGTCTCATTTTGTTTTATGGGCCTGTCTAATCTTTGGCTGAAGGGTGAATCATGGGTGACTTCATTACTGAGCTAAAAGTGTGTCCAGGTGCCATACTCTCGGGGTTTCTCCAGTCTCTGTCACACCAGTAAGACTGTCAGAGCAGTCAGTGGTGGTAGCAGGGCACCATCTAGCTGTGCTGGACTCAGTCTGGTGAAGGCTGTGGTAGTCGTAGTCCATTAGTCCTTTGGACTAATCTTTCCCTTCTGTCTTTGGTTTTCTTCATTCTCCCTTGTTCCAGATGGGGTGGGACCAGTGGAGCATCTGAGACAGCCACTCACAAGAGAAAGCTCCGATTTCTTGATTGTTTCTTGGGTTCCCATTGTATTTCCTAAACCTTACAGAGACTGTTAAGTATTAAATGCACCTTCATTTTTAGGCAGGTCATAGGCGCAATAGCTGAAAGGTATACTGCTTGAAATAACATTTTAGAGGCGTTTCAAACTCTAAAGAATTGGGGTCTGTACTAATACTCTGCAGAGTCGATATTCCCATAAAAGCCTGCTGTGCAGTATTACCAAGACAAGACAGAGAAAAGCCGAGCCCTTGTCTCTAACCTGTGAACACATGGAAATCTCCCTGTTGGCTTAACGGGAGTCTGGCAGCCATGGACTGTGGAATACAGGCATATAGGAACCCGGTATGAGAAGGATGTCTAAGGCAGTAGTGAATCCTAGCTTTGCATGAGTTGGAAGGGAGGTCACAGAACTCTGGACTGCAAATTCCCTTCATTACATTCCCATGCTCATTCCTATACTTGAGATTTATGTTGTGCCTCAGAATGAATTTGAGGGTAAGAGTCGTTTTACTCACTGCTGGTGAAGGTGACATTGACACTATAAGACTGTCCTTTGAGCAGCTGGCATGGCTGGGTGGGGCATGGGCTCACATTCACTTCCTTTATAACTCCGACCACAGACCCTGCAAAAGAAGAAGAATGAATTGGAATAGGAAGAAAAATAAACCACCTAAGCTGCCCCCTACCTAACGGGAAGGTGCTCTGTTCTCCCAAATAGAGTGAACTCATTCTCCTCTGACTGCTTTCCTGGAATCAAATCTTCAAGACAATGCTCAGTTGAAAGTCAGAATCTTGACTCATCTTACTACTAAAATCATATCCTATAAATCAGATGAAAAAGGAGCTAGTTGGTTTCTTGACCATGAGAAAGTTAGTATCTCTTAAGCTAAATAATATCCAGAGACCATACCCACAAAAGATTATGATTGAACTTAAGCTACAACCACAGGAACTCCAAATTTTCCTAGGTTCTTGTCTTCCATTCTTTTTTTTTTTTCCTTCTAAATTTTATTTTGTTATTGTTGTTGAGAACATACACAGCAAAACATACACCAATTAAAGTTTCCACACGTACAATTTAGTGACACTGACTACATTCTTTGAGTTGTGCAACCATTCTCACCCTCCTTTTCTGAGCTGTTCCTCCCTCATTAACATAAACTCACTGTCCCTTAAGGTTCCTACTGAATCTTTCAAGTTGTTGTTGTCAACTCGATCCCACATAGATAGTTCTTAAAAAAGCATAATGTTCCCTCCACCAGACTGAGTCCAGCACAACTAGATGGTGCCTGGCTACCACCGACTGCTCTGACAGGGATCACAACAGAGGGTCCTGGACAGAGCTGGGGAAAAATGTAGAACAAAATTCTAACTCACAAAAAAAGACCAGACTTACTGACCTGACAGAGACTGGAGAAACCCTGACAGTACAGCCCCCGGACACTCTTTTAGCTCAGAAATGAAGTCACTCCTGAGGTTTACTGTTTAGCCACAGATGAGACAGGCCCATAAAACAAAACTAGTAGGGGACAACAACCCAGGGACAAGGACTAGAAGGCACGAGGGGACCGGAAAGCTGGTAATAGGGAACCCAAGGCTGAGAAAGGAGAGTGTTAACATGTGGTAAGGTTGTTAACCAGTGTCATAAAACTGTATGTGTACTGTTTAACGAGAAACTATTGTTCTATAAACCTTCACCTAAAGTAGAATAAAAAAAAATTAAGAAAAAAAAAAAAGCATAATGCTCAAGGCAAGACCTTTTTTACTAGTTCAGCTAAACTATCGTTTGGTTTTTAAGAGGACTTCAGGGGATATTTTTGGTTTCAAGGTTTAAAGAGTAACTCAGGGCAATAGTTTCAGGCATTCATCCACCCTCCACGGTTCCAGAAAGTTTAGAGTCCATGAAAATCTGAAATTCTGTTCTGCATTTTTTCCCCTTTCTTGTCTTCCATTCTTAATGGTAAGGGGGTCACAGTTCAAATTGAAACCTAAATGTTTGCCTCAAACTTCCTTTTAATTAAAATATTCCTGCTTTCCCGTTCATTTTCTAGCAAAGAGATAAGCACTCAACATTTGCTGAAAGTTCTCCACTAAGGGAAAACCATATTTTATACAAAAAATAGCTAGAAGGAAAACCTGGAACCTGAAACTCCAAGGAGGTTAAGTCAGAAAGATGAGTTAAGTCATCTTTCTACCTCAAGTTCTACAAGAGCACATGCTGACTTAAGATGTCTGTTAATGTATGTTGGTAAGTCGGCCAGATTATCACAACAGATGCAATCCGTTTGGAGTCCCTAGATCCAGGAGTCTCTAGTTCCTGAGAAAGTCATTTGTTTTAGATCCTGTGGAAATTGTACCTTGGGTAGCATAGACATGGGAAAGCTGAGGCACCTTAATGATGGCCAAATGAATCTGAAGAAGAGAATGAACTATGACGTACCTCACAACAATGGGCTTTACCAGCCTTGTTTCAGAGATAAGAAAACAGAGAAGCAGAAAGATTGTTGTGACTTGTCCAAGCTCACACTACCTATAAAGGGCAGAACCAAGACTCAGTAGGTTTGTCTGACTTTGAAGCTCTTGGACAGAGTTCACTGGAACCTGAAATGAAGCTTTAAATAAGTAGCCATAGTGACAAACGGTAGGAGACCCCAAAGAAATTCCTGACTGAGAACTACTTGAGGACTCTGGGTGAAGATCCTGATCCTCTTAACTCAATCAAAGCCTTTTTAGGTATCTTGATTCAGCACACCTCCTTGGCCCTTACCACTATTCTCTTTCTATCCTAGAGATTCAATGCTCATATCTTTTGTGATTTTTGGTGATGAAGAGATACATTCGATCAGATTTTACAAACCTTCCCCGAATCTCCTGGCAAATCCTTTGCCCAATAATTTATCTTCTGGAAATCTCTTCATTCTTTAACCCCAACCTGGCTTCCTAGAGAAATAAGCAGTACTATTAAAAGTATGGAGCCCGGGTGGTACAGTGGTAAAAGCACTCGGCTGCTAAACAAAAGGTCGGCGGTTTGAACCTACCAGCCACTCCATAGGAGAAAGATGTGGCAGTCTGCTTCTGTAAAGATTACAGCCTTGGAAACTCTATGGGGCAGTTCTACTCTGTCCTATAGGGTCACTAGCAGTTGGAATCAACTCGACGGCAATGGGTTTTATTAGAGGTATGAGGTAAAAATAAAAAGTATCAGAATATCCTTTTTTAAAAAATATATAATTTATTTTATATATTTTTTGTTGTTGAGAATATACACAGCAAAAATACACCAGTTCAACAGTTCCTACAGGTACAATTCAGTGACATTGATTACATTCTTCGAGTTGTGCAACCATTCTCACCTTCCTTTTCTGAGTTGTTCCTCCCTCATTAACATAAACTTACTGCCCCCTGTATCTTGGAAGAAGTACAACCAGAATGCTCCTTAGAAGCAAGGATGGCGAGACTATGTCTTACATACTTTGGACATGTTGTCAGGAGAGATCAGTCCCTGGAGAAGGACATCATGCTTAGTAAAGTACAGGGTCAGAGAAAAAGAGGAAGACCCTCATTGAGACGGACTGACACAGTGGCTGCAACAATGGGCTCAAGCGTAACAGTGATTGTGAGGATGGTGCAGGACCGGGCAGTGTTTCGTTCTGTGGTGCACAGGGTCACTATGAGTCGGAACTGACTCAATGGCACCTAACAACAACAACAACTGCCCCCTGAAGTTCCTACCCTGCTGTTGTCAATCTGATCTCATGTAGATAAATCTTAAAAGAGTATACACTCAAGGCAGACATTCTTTACTAGTTAAGCTAAACTGTCGTTTGGTTTTAAGAAGACCTCAGGGGAAATATATATATATTCACTTTATTGTACTTCAGATGAAGGTTTACAGAGCAAACTAGCTTCTCATTAAACAATATACATACTGTTTTTTGACACTGGTTGCCAGCCCCACGACATGTCAACACTCTCCCCCCCTTCTTGACCTTAGGTTCCCCATAACCAGCTTTCCTGTCCCCTCCTGCCTTCTCATCCTTGCCCCTGGGCTGATGTGTCCATTTAGTGTCATTTTGTTTTATGGGCCTGTCTAATCTTTGGCTGAAGGGTGAACCTCAGGAGTGACTTCACTACTGAGCTAAAAGGTGTTCGGGGGCGATACTCTCAGGGTTTCTCTAGTCTCTGTCAGACCAGTAAGTCTGGTCTTTTTTTCTTTTTTTAATGAGTCAGAATTTTGTTCTACATTTTTCTCCAGCCCTGTCCAGGACCCTCAATTGTGATCCCTGTCAGAGCAGTCGGTGGTGGTAGATGGGCACCATCTAGCTGTGCTGGACTCAGTCTGATGGAGGCTGTGGTAGTTGTGGTCCATTAGTCCTTTGGACTAATCTTTCTCTTGTGTCTTTGGTTTTCTTCACTTTCCCTTGCTCCAGACTGTGTGAGCCCAGTGGCCTATCTCAGATGGCCACCCATATGCTTTTAAGACCTCAGGGGATATTTTTAGTTTAAGGTTTAAACATTACTTCAGGGCAATAGTTTCAGGAATTTATTTAGCTGCCATGATTCCAGAAAGTCTGGATTCCATAAGAATTAGAAATTGTGTTCTGCATTTTCCCCCTTCCTGCTTTAGCTTTTGAAATTAGGCTGATTCAAGAAGCCTACTCACTTCTGAGTGGTGGACTAAGTAATTTAAGAGAAACTGCCATTTTAACATTGAAATGACTCTATACAGCATTTGAACTGGGAATGACCCTTAAAAGAAGAACTGGGAACTGCACTATCTCCCATGTACTTCTGAGTTCTCTTCAGTTATTTAGTCACGTTCTTTTAGGGAAGAAATCTAAGAGACCCACTTAGGAGTGATGAAATATTTTGGCTGGAAAAATAACAGGCAGTACCTTAAATCCTGACCAAGTTATTAGGAGCTTGATTTTTCCAATAATCAAAGGGATGAACTATTGAAAGGATAAAGAGGAGGACAGAGGTCAAGGTCTTTATAGCTCCCATATAAGCTAAGGGCCTTAATTAAACTCAACGTCAAATACAGCCAATACACACAGCTGAGATGGCAGAAGTACCAGTTGTGTTAAAGAAGAATACTGCTATCTTCAGTGTCTTAGGCTGGGTTCTCTAGAGAAGCAAAACCAGTAAAGCATATTGTTATGGATTGAACTGTGTCCCCAAAAATGCGTATCAGTTTGGCTAGGCCATGGTTGCCAGTATTATGTGGCTGTCTACCATTCTGTGATCTGATGTGATTATCCTATGAGTTGTAAATCCTAACCTCTATGATGTTAATGGAGCCCTGGTGGCTAAGTGGTTAAGAGCTTGGCTGCTAACCAAAAAGTCAGCAGTTCTAATCCACCAGCTGCTCATTGGAAACCCTATGGGGCAGTTCTATTCTGTCTTAGTTATCTAGTGCTGCTATAACAGAAATACCACAAGTGGATGGCTTTAACAAAAACAAATTTGTTCTCTCAGTCTAATAGGCTAGAAGTCCAAATTCAGGGTGCCAGCTCCAGGGGAAAGCTTTCTCTCTGTTGGCTCTAAAGGAAGGTCCTTGTCATCAATCTTCCCTTCGTCTAGGAGGTTCTCTGCACAAGAACCTTGGGTCCAAAGGATGTGCTCTGCTCCCGGTGTTGCTTTCTTGATGATATGAGGTTCCCATGTCTCTCTGCTTGATTGTCTCTTCTATATCTCAAAAAGATTGATTTAAGACAAAACCCAACACTTAGATTGAGTCCTGCCTCATTAACATAACTGCCTCATTAACATCATAGAGGCAGGATTTACAACACATAGGAAAATCACATGGGATGACAAAATGGTGGACGATCCCGCAGTACTAGAAATCATGGCCCAGCCAAATTGACACATATTTTTGGGGGACACAATTCAATCCATGACAAGAACTAAGACATGCATATACATATAGTTGTTGTTGTTAGGTGCCATCAAGTCAGTTCCGACTCATAGCAACCCTATGTACAATGGAACAAAACACTGCCCGGTCCTGCGCTATCCTCACAATCGTTGTGCTTAAGGCCATCGTTGCAGCCACTGTGTTAACCCATCTTGTTGAGGGCCTTCCTCTTTTTCACTGACCCTCTACTTTGCCAACCATGATATACTTCTCCAGAGACTGGTCCCTTCTGATGACGTGTCCAACGCAAGCAAGACGAAGTCTCACTATCCTCGCTTCTAAGGACTATTCTGGCTGTACTTCTTCCAAGGGTTCTTATAGATCTACTTCTGAAAAATCAGCCATTGAAAACCCTATGGAATGCAGTTCTACTCCGATACAAATGGGGTTGCCATGAGTAGGAATCGACATCATATTGACCAACACTGCTCCAGCTAGGTCTGTAAATAATACCTTGCAGTCCCTTATCCTTCAGCTTGCTTCTCTATCATGACAAAGTTCTCAAACTGTACATACAAGGATTTTCCTCTCTAAGCACCCGAAGCAGTTTGAGAAGCACTTGCTTCCACTCTATTCCATCTTCTATGGATAGAGAAAAAAAAGTCAACAACGTATTGAAAAATCAGTGCTTATGTCAAGGCTTTCAATGTCCAGCTTCTACTGCTTTCAAGGCTAGGTCACATGATCTAGTAGGACCTGAGCAAAAGGTAGTTATTATAGCTCCTTCTATGAGTTGGCATCAGCTCAATGGCAACCAGTTTTTGGGTATAGCTCCTTCATCTAGTTTCTTGCTGCAAGAGGTGCTTGGACTTCTAATGTCAATAGAACAAATTCCTCAGCCTCAACCTGCAAACATTACAAACCTCAAGTTTGCTTGGCCCCATCTCTCACTTGAGGAAATCCCACCCCAGGGGAGGAGGAGTGTAGAGCGGACTCAAACCCTTTTGATGTTCATCCAGAAGTTTTTACATTGTATTTCCCAATTGAAATGTAAATGGAAAATCTGTAACTGAAACCCTTCTTCCCTTAAGAAGTTCTCCCCATTGATGTAACCAAACCAGTTGTCTTGGAGTCAATTCCAACTCATGGCGACCCCATGTGTGTCAGAGTAGAACTGTGCTCCATAGGGTTTTCAAGGGCTGATTTTTCAGAAGTAGATCACCAGGCCTTTCTTCCAAGGTGCCTCTGGATAGACTCAAACTGCCAACCTTTTGGTTAGCAGGCCCGTGTGTTAACCCTCTGCACCACCCAGGAAATCCTCCCATAGATGTACATCTGCTTTTTTCCAACAGAGTAGAACAATTTTTGGATTTATTTCCCTTAGTTGTTTCTTTGTTCTTTTAATGTTACCACTGAAACTCAAAGTGGTTCTAAACACCCACCAGTTTTCTACCTCTTACTAGCTGTGAGACTTTGGGCAAGTTACTCTATGTGCCCAAGTTTCCTCATCTGTAAACCAGATTTTGTAGAGATTAATACAGCGTTTTCATCCAAACGTTGGCCACTAAGTTTACTGTTAGGAAAGGCAGTAAACTGAGACAATAATAGGATATTTCAAGTGCCTGTCTGCTAATTCAGTGGAACACCATTTGTTAAATGCTGGCAGGCCAGCATTCTTTATTCCTTAATGGAGTCTATCCCCTAGCCCCCAACATTGCTTTTGCCTCAACATGGATTTTGACGACATAGGGGAAAGACTATTCTCTCATTCACTTTTTGAACAAATTTTATTGAGCAGTAGCTATTAGTTAGGCCCTGGATATAAATGAGCAAACTTATTCTGGCTCCATTCTGCTGTGTGATTCTGGAATATAATGATTGCTTATAGGATCTCCAAGTTTCCTTCCAGCTCAAAAATTTTACAATGATTATTAGAACAGTTCTAATTTTAGAACTTACAAAAGTGCTTCTGGAACTTAGAAAAGTTCTGCTAGAACAATAAATTCTGCAGATTTGACTGAATGAACTCATTATTTCTATCCCTTGATGTATTTTCCAACAAAGCTTCTAACCACAGCGGCGAGAGGGGGTTGTGTGTCACGAGACGGGATTAGGAACACGGTGAGTCTTACAGGAGGAAAAACCAGCTAATTCTGAATAACAAAATTCCATGGCCCAAAGGAGGCTCGGAATAAATCAAGAAAAGGGGAACAGACTCTTGACTTGTCAGCAAACAGACTGGGAGGAGGTTATCCAAGACACAAAGCACAAATAAAATGAAGAAGTTCTGCCCCCCACGCCCCACCTCCACGCCTTCCGTTCTAGACCCTCCGTTGTCTGCCCTATGAACTTTAGAAAAACTTCAGCAAAACGTCCACCTCTACAAGTGTTCCAAACCCACCGCCGTCGAGTCAATTCCGACTCATAGCGACTCTACAGAACTGAGTAGAAATGCCCCATAGTGTTTCCAATGCTGTAAATCTTTACCAAAGCAGACTGCCACATCTTTCTCACGCAGAGCGGCGGTCAGGTTCCAACCGCAGACCTTTAGGTTAGCCCCGCGCTTAACCACTGCGCCACCAGGGCTCCTTCTAGTATTGTTCAGGAATCCCAAAATACGCGTTTCAAGGAAAGAGACAAAGTTTGGAGCGGTCGCGTTTAATCGAGGCCGGCCCCCTCTCCGCCAACCCTAGCACCCCCAGTCCACTGCACGCGCGGTCCGAGGCTGAGCCTGGCCGCCCGCGGGACCTGCCCAGCCCAGCCCGGGGTCCCAGCGCGCGGCTTCGGCGCGGGATCCCGTAGTGGGCGCCGGCACATCGGACCGGCCCGCGACTCACCGCAATCCTTGAAGAACACTGGCTCGGCTAGGGAAGCGGCGCTGAGCGCCAGCAGCAGGAACGCTGCGGCCTGGATCCGCATCGCAGCCAAAAAACGTTCAAGAGCGAGGAAGGAAGAACTGTCCACCAAGGTCATAAGATAAACCTGCCGGGGCGGGGCCAGTGAGGGGTCCAGTCAGCCGACCGTTCACATTCAACCACCGCCGGGGCCCGCCCCCAGCCCGCGCCCAGCCCGCCCCCTGGCCGTGCGGCTCCGTTGCCCGCCCATTTCCGCCTATTTTCTCCGCTCGGCGGCTGGCGGGGCTAGGATCCACCTCCGCCCTGCTCCTCCCCTCAATCAGCCCTCCGTCCGGGCTTTGACGATACTCCTTGCTTCCGGGATCTGGAGCAGTTTTAGCCAATCAAGACCCTACTCTTTCCCCATTACCCAATAGGTCCGCTCGGAGGAGGGGTCTCCGTGCTGTCCCGCCCCCCCAGGCCATTCTCCCCGCCTCCCGAGGCCCAGGCTGAGGAGGGATAGGGGCTCCGGGGGGGGCGGAGCTTGTGGGGGAAGATGGCGGCCGCTTGGGGGCTGTCCCTAGCGGCCGCTGCACTGAGAGCGGTTACCGCCTGGCCGAGGGGCAGGTACCAATCTTAAAAGCCTCCTAGGAAGGGAGTGTTAAGTTCTGCGCCTCCAGGACAAGTGGGAAACTAAGGCCCGTGGGAGGGGCTGTGGAGGGGAGGGAGGCTGGCGTGAGTTTGTCCTGGCCGGGGTCAGGCGCTCCTTCATCCCCCTGGTTCATCCTCCTCCCTTGCGTGGCAGGCTCCCTGCGGCCTTCCCCAGGTCTCAGGTGCTTCGGAAAGCGTCGTCCTCTAGCCCCCAGGCCGACGAAGGGCAGATCCACCTCACCGACAATTGCGTCCAGGTAGGAGGCCGCACGTGCGGCGTCTGTGTCCGGGCGAGCGCCGGTACCTCCTCTTCGCTCACACTTCTCTTCCCTGTCTCTCGGAGTTCTTAATTCCCCCTTCTGCATTTCAGAGGCTTCTGGAAATCACCGAAGGGTCAGAGTTCCTCAGACTGCAGGTGGAAGGAGGTGGATGCTCCGGATTCCAATACAAATTTTCACTGGATACAGTTATCAACCCTGATGACAGGCAAGAAGGAGGGAGGGGTGCGACATCAGAGGCTGTTCGGGAGAGAGAAAAGTGTCTCTCCAGTATAATATGCAGTTGTATTCCAAATTTCAAAGATTTTCTAAGCATTGTTAACATCAACCTCACACAGTGAGGATGCAGTGAACATTTGTTGTCTTGACCTAAAAATGACAGTTACAGGAGAAAAATTGACGTGCCCGGGTCCATAGGGAGTTGGTAGAGAGTCCGGCTGGACTAGACCCCAGGCCTAATTCCTTAAATATTTTCCTGTACGCATTTCATTGACACTTTTTTGCCTGAAAGAAAATCAACACCTGTTAGAGGTGATAAGGAATGCTCTCTGTGTACTTGAGAGAATAGGATGTGCTCCTGGGAGGTCAGAGGATGTCATGATTTGGATGTTTGTGATATTAATTAATGCCTTCTTCCTCTCTTTCCAGGGTATTTGAACAGGGTGGGGCAAGAGTGGTGGTTGACTCTGATAGCTTGGCCTTTGTGAAAGGGGCCCAGGTGGACTTCAGCCAAGAACTTATCCGAAGCTCATTTCAAGTGTTGAACAATCCTCAAGCACAGCAAGGCTGCTCCTGTGGGTCATCCTTCTCTGTCAAACTTTAATGTGATAATGAGTGACCCAGACACTACCACCATTTCTACCAATTTGAGGAACTTGAGATTAGGTTTCCATCTAATCATGCTCCCCTCTCAATTTTACTTCCTTTGACCCAGGAGTGTTGTGTTTTGCTACTCTTATTTTCAGAATGTGAAGCTTACTCTTGACGTAATCACCCCTGCCCCAATTCTAAGGCCGTGCCTCCAGATGCTGTTACCTCAGATTTAATCACTGGTTGAAACCCAGTATAATCTATAGAGCCTCCAAGGCTCCAAAATTTGGACTTACTGCTCTGGTCTTTAGAGCTGCTTGTACATATGTGGCCAGCTATATATAAAAGCTACATTTTAAATGAAAGTCCCCATTTACTTGTGTTATGAATCAAGGTCACAGATTGGATAGCTTGAATACTTGTTACTAGGCCAGAGAGAATGAAAAAGGCAAATGAAATATTCTCCTTTTCATCTCAAGCTTTGTGAATATGCTACTTGATTTATTTTTTATGCAACCAGCTCTCCACTTCCCATTGGTAGGGAATCATACTCATGGATCTGCTAGACTCAAAACAAGAACCCATTACCCACACAGCTTGGACCAAACTCCCACTGATACCTGAATCATTTGAAAAATAGCCTCCATATTCCATACGCATATGGACATTTCTAGATTCTGTGATCATTTAGTAACTGAATCTTTTCAGAATATGTTGCTTCACCGAATTATGGTGTAAAATGTCTCTGGTCTCATGCATAAGCAGGAAGTGGTCCCTTTGCTAATATAGATAATAGACACCCATTGCCATCGAGTCGATTCCGACTCATAGCAACCCTATAGGACAGAGTAGAGCTGCCCCATAGGGTTTCCAGGGAGTGCCAGGTGGATTCGAACAGCCAACTTTTTGGTTAGGAGCCGTAGCTCTTAACCACTTTGCCGCCAGGGCTCCAACAGACACTTTGGGACCTTTTATTAGGTAGGTCTGCCAGATAAAATATAGGATGCCCAGTTTTAAATTTGAATTTTAGATAAACGACAAATAATTTTTAGTACGAGTATGTCTTATGCAGTATTTGTGACATACTTAAACTAACAAATTACTATTCATTACTAAACCTGGCAACCTACTTCCAGGTCACTGAAGAAAAGCTTTTTAAATTACAGATTCCAATTTTAAAGTATTTATTTGGGTATGGTACTTAAACAGGCTACAGAGCTTAAAATAATCATGATCCCTGTATGACTTCTGGGAGAGCCAGAACAGTCTGGACAACTAAAAAAACAAAAAAATTCATAACAACAAAAAATGATTTATTACAGCTAATGTTGGGCAAACTGCAACAAAGTTGATTCTGGAAAAATCAATGGTTAAATCCGTCTTTTGCTCAGGAGCCTAAAATTTGCATTTCTGGACTGGATTGGAATTAGTCATTCAGTACGAGAATTTACCATTAAAAAAAAAGTGGAAATAAAGAGTTTAGAGACAACATATCTGAGGCAGAAGCTCAGATACTTAAACATTTTCAATAAGACTATGATTTAGAGAAAAACCTCGTGGTTAGAGGAAAGAAAGGGATACTGAGAAACCTGAGTGCTGGGACGAGGCAGAGAGCAGCGTACCATGAAAGCATCTGTGTGTAAAGTTACTCAGATACTGAGAGTTGCTGCCAATACCTGGACTTCACATAAGATTTTCAGCTCAGACTACCTAAGTCCTTTCATCCTCCTTAAGAAGGGATTTTGCTGCATTTTAAACGTTAGGACCTAGTCTTTCATAATATTTTTGTGGATTATTTATTGATTTGGTGATTTTATAACTCCTACTGAGCACAAGCAGAGTAGCTTTAGTTGTTAAATAATCCACTAAATTGTAGTGGTCTTCTAGGCAGAAACAGGGTCCCTCAGAAGGCAGAAGCCTGTACGTAGGTTCTTATTGTTAGTGGGAGAATTGGAATTTTGTGTTTAGGTGAGGTGGATTTGAGAGAAATTGCCTTATTTCATCACACTGAGAAAGCTTCATGGGGAAACCTGTAGTGGTAAGAAGTCTCCATTTTGGGGGAGGGGTGTAGATATTTTAAGGACAGGGTATGGGAGAATGATGACACCAAGGGGACACAGGACAGTTTGCTTGGAATAAACAGTAAGCATGGTAAAGTGGGCTTAGCATCTTTTGCAGGCTCTTTCTGACCAGATGTCCTCTTCCAGCAGATATTTTCACAGACGTTCACTATGCAGATTCATTTAGGAAAACTTTATACTTTCCCAGTAGCAATTGGAAGATCTTTTGTCTCCATCTTACTTTCAAGGGGAGCTTTTCAAAGCCTTATTTGTTGCAGAATTGGCTTTAATTAACTTGATATGCAAGCCATTGTCTGGCTGGGGCAGCATGTCCCTCCCACCTTTGCTTTAGTGATGCCGTAGTGCAAGGACCAAAGGCAAGGGAGCCTTGAATCTGCTTTATGTTGTGAATCAGCTTTATGTTGTTGGGGGCTCAAATAGAGGACCTCTTGGTCAATGTCCAGATCTTACTGTCAAATCACGTTCTTTAGTTATGTGATGATAGTGGTAAGTGGCATATGAACTATTTATGTCCCATCCACTCTTAGTTTTTTCCATGTAGGAATGTTGACTGATTACAAAGGATTAGGAGAAAACAGGTCCAGAAGGAAGGACTACTAAATTAGGTGTCCAGGAAGATATTCTTTTTTGTCGCTTCTAGGAATTGAGCCCTATTCTTTTGCTCTTTCGTTATAAAGCATCAGAGTAGAGGGCTGACATTTGGCAGGAGCATCCTGGTACAAGGGAGCGGACAGCATTGATGGTAGCTGATCCTTCTGGTTGCTATAGCCCTCCCTGGAACTCTGGCCCCAAGCTGATGTTATACAGCTGGCATTGGGCAGGACCTAATGCTGTTGCCTGAAATATCATGGTTTTACATGTTTGCCTTAAAGGCAGGAAATTCCTCTCTCTTTTTTTTAATAACTTATTTTTGAGAATATACACAAGAAAATATACACCAATCCAACAGTTTGTACATGTACAATTCAGTGACGTTGATTACATTTTTTGAGTTGTGCAACCATTCTCATCCTCCTTTACTAAGTTGTTCCCCATTAACATAAACTCACTGCCACCTAAGTTTTCTATCTATTCTTTCAAGTTGCTGTTGTCAATTTGATTCTGAATAGTTAGAGCTTAAAAGAGCGTATGCTCAAGGCAGATATTCTTTGCTAGTTAAGCTAGATTATTGTTTGGTTTTAAGAAGACTTCAGGGGATATTTTTGGTTTAGGGTTTAAAGATTATCTCAGGACAATAGTTTCGGGGGTTCATCCAGCCTCCATGGCTCCAGAAAGTCTGGATCCCATGGGAATTTGAAAGTCTGTTCTGCATTCGAAAACTCTACTTTTGAAGGTATCTAGTATTGCTGTTTATCATCGCTCTTTTAAAATCCCTGTTTGCCCTTCTTTCTCTACCAAAATACCATGCCAACCCTTTGGTTAGTAGTTGAGTGCTTAACCATTTGCGCATCCAGAGACTCCTCAGAAATACTACAGTGCTGTTTAAAGGAAGTTTGCTTTAAGGAATTTTGAAATAAGTTATCACCTGGCCTTAGTTGTTAAATCTAGACTAGTATATAAAAAGAGGGAGCATTTAATCAGTCTGTGGCCAGCAATTGTATTTAAAAATATTTTATTTTTTTAAGTTTGTAATACATACGGTACAGAATTCAAAAAGATACACAACGGGATACAATGAAAAGTCTCCCAATTCTGTCCTCATCCCCCCACTCACCCTTCCCACAAACTACCATTGTTTCTAAGAATTTATCCCAGATAGAATCCCACAGATACAATGTGAAATAACTTATGTGCAAGAATATTCATTACAGCATTATTTGTAGTAGCAAAAGATGGGAAACAATTGAAATATCTATCAATAGGGGACTGATTAAATTTTGGTTTATCCATTTCATGGGATATTGTACAGCTATAAAATAAGGCAGCTCTTTATGTGCAAGTGTATATTAAGTGACAAAGCAAAGTGCACAACAACATGCATAGGATGCTGTTACTTGTGTTTAATTAAAAAAGTACATATATGCATGTAATATTTTTCTTTTTTTATTGTTGTAGTTTAAGTGAAAGTTTACAATTCAAGTCAGTATCTCATACAAAAATTTATACATACACAGTTATGTAACCCCAGTTGCTCTCCCTATACTGTAACAGCACACTCCTCCTTTCCACCCGATTTCCCGCATCTATTTAACCAACTCATAACCCTCTCCGCCTTCTCATCTCCCCTCCTGACAGAAGCTGCCTGTTTAGTCTCATGTATCTACTTGAGCTAAGAAGCACGCTCTTCACGAGTATCATTTTATGTCCCACAGTGCAGTCCAATCTTTGTCTGAAGAGTTGGCCTTGGGAGTTGTTTTAGTTCTGGGTTGACAAGAGAGTCCGGGGGCCATGCTTTCTGGGGTTCCTCCAGTCTCAGACCATTAAGTCTGGTCTTTTTACTAGAATTTGATTTCTGCACCCACCTTTCCCCTGCTCCATCAGGGACTCTCTGTTCTGTTCCCTGTCAGGGCGGTCATTGGTGTTAGCCGGGCACCATCTAGTTCTTCTGGTCTCAGGCTGATGAAGTCTCTGGTTTATGTGGCCCTTTCTGTCTCTGCATGTAATATTTCTGAGAAAGCGAGCAAGAAGGCAGGTTGGAAGAAGGGGCAGTTTATCTGGGGATAAAGGGCAGAGTTTATCTGAGGAATGGTAAGAAGTTCTCTGAAATATGGGGTGTAAGGTGGAGTGGTGAGGATGAGTTTAGCAGATATCCACCTCTCTTTCCACTTAGACAAATAGCAGCATATGTTACACTATACTCTGTATATACCTTCCTTTTCCCCCTTAATTTCTTTTGTGTATTCTTCCTATCAAGGCATTTAAAGCAGCTTTTTTGCTTTTTTAGGGCCCCATAGCAATTCATAGGAGCCCTGGTGGTACTGTGGGTAAGTGCTTGGCCACTAACCAAAAAGTCCTTGGTTAGAACCCACCAGCTGCTCCATGGGAGAAAGATGTGGCAGTCTGCTTCCTTAAAGATAACAGTCTTGGAAGCCCTATGGGGCAGTTCTACTCTATCCTAATGGTCGCCATGAGTTGGAATCAACTTGATGGCAATGGGTTTGGTTTTTGGGTTTTATAGCAGTTCATTGTTTCCAATCTTTCGCTATTACAAACAATACTGTAATGAATAACCTCTTACGTATTTCTTTTACACTTGGTGAGACTATCTGAAGGTTAAATTCCTACAAGTGTAATTCCTGGATCAAAGAGTAAGTGCTTTTATAATTTTGAAAGACATCACCATATTGTCCCTTCAGAGATTGTACCAATGTATATGCCCATCAGCTATGAGTGTGTATTTCCCAAATGTTTGCCCATTAGGAGTCTTATCAGACTTTTTGATCTTGGCCAATTTGATAATTAACAAACAGTATCAGTGTGGTTTTAATGTGCATTTCTCTTATTATGAATGAAGGTCAGAATATTTTCATATGTTTAAGAATCATTTCTGTCTGCTGAAACATCTCAACTAATATAATGACCTACAGCAAATCACTGAACCTTTCTGTGTCTCAGTTTCCTCACCCATAAATTGGGAATAAAAATAGTAAGTAGGATTGTTGGGTGAATAAATGAAATTATGTACAGCACTCAGCACAGTGCCTGGCACACAGTAAGCATTCAATAAATTATGTGATGGCTGACAGAGCAGCAGGTAGGACAGTACAAATTGAGTTAAGAGAGTAGCGGTTTACCTCCATGTCTCCAGCCACACAGAGCCTTCTTCATTTTATATTGCCATTCATCAGAGCTTTCTTTGTCTTGGGATAGTAAAGAACCTTTTTCCATGGAACCAAATCCATAGGACATCAGCAGAGCTGGTAAGGGGGTAAGCACAGCCTCATCTCTAATATTTAGATGTAGCTAACATGGTAAACAAATGTGGCCTAATATGAAATAAAAACAAGATCAAAAGAGCCCAAATGTGCATATCTTTATTCCACCATGGTTTTCAGTCCCCAACTAGCCTGGGTGAGAGCTGGGTCTCTCCTTATAAACTCAGAGGGATGCCAACCATCCCATGAAGGGGAGGAGGGCAGAGGCTTCTGAGTAGAGGGAAAAGACATTGGAAATCTGGCTTCCCCTGAACAAGACCACACTGTACTCTACCAGCTAGAAAATAGACCTTTTTATTTGTAGCACATCAAACTGGTTTCACAAAAGGGGAGCACAAGAGAGACTTGGTTCCTGTAAGAGGGCGTGTATATTTAATAAAGGTCTTTGGAGATGGGCACCCTGTCTTGTGGCAGCCCTTGCTGCTGGTACACAGGGGCTATTGCCTGGTAGATTTTGAATGGTTATTTACCCAAAGCTACTGAATATTTTCTTTGGACTTGTATAAAGCCCTGGCTCCTCCTTTCTTACTGACTCTCCATACTTTTCACATTTCCTTCTTGCTGCTTTCTTGGGCTCCTTGCTCCTTTTCATTTGTGTCTTTTACACTCAGCAAGCTAATTATCAGTCTTGCTTCTCTGAGATGAGGGGATCTTCTGCCCCTCCCTGGGGCCACAGTACTGGTTACAGGATGGAGATGTGGCAAAAAGCAGGGCCCAGACCAAACTGGCTGAGTGATGGTTCTTGGGAGGGGGCATTGGGGTCACTCCCCAAACTCCCCCCAACCCTTTCTTGCTCCACAGATTCTGAAGGACTGTCCCAGGGCAGATGTAGCCTCTGTCCCAGGTGTGGAATCATCAGGATGATGTGTGGATCATGGCTGGAAAGGGGTGTCTGCAGTGTGAGGCAGAAGGACCTTGCCTATTTGTACAGCTTGAGAGGGGTGCTGAGGGCCAGCCTTTGGTAAGTATTCCATAGCAAGGCTAGGACAGGTAGTGGACTGGTCCTTATGGCCAAAGGCTGAAGCATTAAGGCATTTGGTGGTGTTTGAGCCAAGCAAGGACATGGTGGCATGGAGGCAGTGGTGGAAGCTCACAGCCAGAGTGTAAGCTGAGAGATGAAAAGTGGGCAAGGCTGACTGTGGGCTGGGCCCCAGAGCCTCCTGCCTGATGTTATCATGGTATCTTCCCAGCCAGGAAAGCATTTTCAAAGCCCCCACCTGTGACTAGGGGCCATTTCCAGGTAGCTGCCCACACCCCTCACTGCTACTCCTTGGCAGCGCAGTGTGGGGGGTCTGCCTTGGCCACATAACCTGGGGTGCAGTGGCAGCGGTAGGAGCCCTCTGTGTTCTCGCAGTGGCCATGGGCACAGAGCGCGGCAGGCCCGTTCAAGTCCTCACACTCATTCACATCTAGAAGGGAGGGAAGGAGGGAAGAGCTGTAGGGAGCCCAGGAGGCTCTGGCCTGCTGCCTCTGCCCCTCTGGGAACCAATCCTGGCACTTGCCCTGCAGTCAATTCCTAGGGGTGGCAGCCGTGGCTGAAATCACTTCCCCAAACTAAGCAACTCAGGAAAACAAAGCAGGAGGTAGTGAGCTCACACCATGCCCTGGAGAGTGACCATGCTCTCTTGTCCCTGCCTGCCTTCTGTCTAGGAATCTCCATGGAAAGGGCTTTCTAAACAGCTTTAGACCTTCCCTGAGAGCTTTCTATCCCCCAGCCTGATGCAGGGCAGCCCCACTAGGGGGCAGCAGTGGACTTTCCAGCTGTCATAAATTCAACAGTACATCTGCAACGTGAGCAGAGCACCAGCCTGGCCTTCTCCACACCCACATCAGAGCCAGCCTGCTCCTCTGACTGGAAACTTACCCACACAGGCCATGTGCGCCGCATCCAGCTGGAAGCCCTCGAAGCAGTCGCAGGTGTAGCCCTCCCGCACACGCACACAGCGGCCATTCTCACAGCCATTCAGGATGCCGCACTCCGCTGCCTGAAGCCCTTCGAAGCCGGCCTGGTGCTCTGGTAGGAGGGAGTCAGAGAAGGAAGCCGAGGCTTTATACTCAGGCTCTAATCTCTCCAACCCTGGAACTTCACCCTCTGGGATGCCCCTGCTGAACTCCACAGAAAGGTGCTTAAAATGAAAGGTAATACTCTTTAAAAATACCTATGTGCCATTTCAGGTGGGGGAGACATGCTGTGCTTGAAGTGAGCACATGGAAGGGTTGGGACTCACTGCTTTCACAGTGCCAGGGCTTCTGAGCAGCTGGGTGTCATAGTTTTTGGTTTTGTTGGGGCGGGGTGGAGGTTGTGGCAGGTACTGTGTTCATTGCACAGGTGCCAGGCCTAACCTGACTTCCTCATTAGAACCCAAGTCTTGAGTGCTGGGGTCATCACGATTTACAAATAAGTCACCACAGCGGGCCTTTAAAGTGATTAAACCAAAAAACCAAAGTCACTGCCATCAAGTCGATTTCGACTCAAAGTAACCCTATAGGACACAGTAGAACTGCCCCATAGAGTTTCCCAGGAGCAGCTGGAGGATTCAAACTACCAGCCTTTTGGTTAGCAGCCCAACTCTTAACCACTGTGCCACCAGGGCTCCTTAAAGTGATTAGATAGCCTTAATTCACATTCCAGGTCACAAGTCTGAAGGCTGGGTTTCCTTAAAGCAGGTTATTCTTCATCCTCTAAGTGGTATGGAGGGTGACTTGGTAACTGAATGAGAAAAACAGACCCAGAGTGTAACGGGTTTCTCTCACTCTCTCGACTCCCACAGGGAAGCTCGTAGGGGCTGAGAATGTGCTTCGCACCTCTTTGTGCCCCTGTGCTAGTACATCATAGGGAGTCGTTCGGTCTGACCCCTGGCATTCGGAGTTGTCCCTGAGTGACCCGTGAGCGGGGAGCATCTGGCTTGGTGCATCTTTTCACTTCCTCATCCTCAGCCTGCTGGTAATATGACAGAGGTGGAGGAGAAGGAAGTGACAGCTTCAGTGCCCTCTTGTCCTATTTTTACAGCAACACAGACCTGGATGGCTGGCCACATAGCGGGGCTGGGCTTCTGGAGGCTGCAGGGGAGACTCAAAGATGGGTGTGTAGTCCCCTGGGTGGCTGGCCATGTTGGGAAAGGATGGCTCAGGGATGTTGTCCTCAGGGCCCAGGTAGTTGTAGAAGGGGGCCCCGTCGGGGCCATAGAGGCTGTAGTGCAGGTCATCAGGCCCGGGGCCATATTCATAGCCTGGCCGGAAGTGGACTCCGGCCTCTCGCTCCGCCTCGATCCGGGCCACGTTGCACAGTTGAGCATAGACCTCTGTCAGGGAGGAGGGAGAGAGACGCTGGGCCCCAACTCCTAGCAGCTAAAGCCTAGTTGGCTATTTCCCCAGCCCACCTCCCCCTAGGAGAGAGGGAGCATGTGAGGACTGACAATCAGAGCAGCAGGTAGGACAGTCCAGATTAAGTTAAGAAAGTAGCGCTCATCTCCATGACTCCAGTTACTGTCCTCTGGAGTTCCTGGCAGTGCTCCCCTCCCCTCTACTTTGTCCCCAAACAAGAGGGATCAAGACAGGGGCCACCACTCTGATTGTCCTACTCCTTCTTTCTAAATTTCCACCTTCTAAGGCGAGGGCACCCCCTAGCCCGGGCCCAGCCCAGCTCTGCAGCTGTCCCCCCACCCCTCCACTGCAGGCTCAGGCTGCCCCTCTCACCAGAGCTCCTGGGGGGGCACAGGGCACACTGCTGGCTCCAGGCCTCGCCGTCCTGGCAGCAGCATTCCGTGTAGGTGGTGCGGCGCCCACGCAGGGGTTGGCTGCACATGTAATTCGTGACTGTTTTCCAGCAGATGTCGGTGTGGATATCATGGTCAGGAAGGTCATCTGGAAGCACAGGGCAAAGAGGCACGTGAGCCCCCCCCAGGCCCATGCCCACTACTTCCCTGCTGCCCCACCAGCTCAGGCCCACTCACCCATGCTGCTGGAGCCGTTCACACAGCGCTGCCGGCTGGGGTCCAGGATGAGGGGTGGGCTGCAGAAGCAGTGGAAAGAGCCTTCCGTGTTCACACACTCGCCATTCTCACAGGCCATGGCCTGGCACTCATCGTGATCTGTGGTGGCAGGAAGGAGGAAGAAAAGTGTGGCAGAAGTGCCAAGGCGATCACCCACTGACCACCTTCATGGAAGGGGGTTCTCCTGTGAACAATAATGAAGGAGTAGCACTCTCCACCGCCCCCCAACCCCAGCCCAGCGCGGGAGGCCTTTCCAACAGGTCCCACGTGATTATTGACAGCCCCGTGGCTCCCCTCACCTCAGACCTGCCTGGCACAGTGGGCATCTTCCCCAGGAAGGGAAACTTCCCCCAGAAATGGATGGCGGTGGGGGAGGGGTGGTGTGTGCTCTCACCCTCACACTTCTTGCGGGCGGCATCGTAGCTGTAGCCTGGATCGCACAGGCAGGTGTAGCCGGGCACCGTGTTGAGGCACCGGCCGTTCTGGCAGAGATCCGGCCCGAACATCACACACTCGTCAGCATCTGTGGGAGGCAGAGCTGACTCGAGGGGAAGTTGAGAAGCAGTATGAGGCAGTACTTAAGCCTGGGGAATCCAAAACCAGACTCTCTGGGTTTGATTCCTGGCTCTGCCGCTTACTAGTTGAGTGACTTTGGGCAAGTTGCTTAAGTTCTCTTTGCCTCAGTTTCCTACCTATAAAACATGGATTAAAATACTTACCTCTTACAGTTGTGATGAGGATTAAATGCTGTTAATATATGTAAGGTCCTTAAAATAGTGCTTGGCCCATAGCAAGCCCTCAGGGAAAGCTACTTCTGTTCCTATTATTTCCTTCTCCAGCTTCAGGACTAGGGCACTGTGGGGCCACCTGAGCCACATCACTGTGAGAATGGGTTCCCCAAGGCTCTGGCTTCATAAATGGGGCACAGGAGAGAAGCAGATGTCTATGGCCTCTGTACAGCAGTACTCTCCATGCTGTCCCTGTGCCTACATGTGGCGGAGGATGAGTCAGTCAAGGCATCATAGTTTGTTCCTGGAGACTCTCCTCCAGGGGGACTGGGGTGAGGCTTGTATGGACACTCCAGAAGAGCTTGGGTCAGAACTTTCAGCTAAAAATCTGCAAGGGGTCAATCCTGGAACAGAGAGGACAGGAGCTACATGGGGAGCAGGGCTGGATCCAGAGCTTCCCTAGGCCTCCTGGAGGGTTAGGCTGGGGTGCTCAGGTGAATGGAGTGAATGAGGGCATGCAGGGAGGTTACCTGTGTACGTAGTCTGTCCAAACATCCAGGCTCCTTCCACAGGGATATAGCCTTTACCACTGGGGCAGATCTCGCTGAATTCCACTGTGCAGGGAGGCAGCCAAGCTCAGAGAGGGGAGGGCTCTGCCATCCTTCCTCTCTCCCCTCCTTTCAGTGTCGTCCTGCGGAGCTGACGCTCAGGACTGGGGACCCTTGGAGGCCTTACCTGAGTCCTCAGATGGGCAGAGCTCACAGGTGTCTCCCCAGCTGGCGCCCTGGGTGCAGCAGCACTCGGCCTGCGTGGTGTTCCGGCCCAGGACTCTCGAGCAGGGAGGCTGGCCCCTCTGTCCAGAGTAGCATTCCATGCGGATGGGGCCCGTGGGGTGGTCCACTGTCGGGGCCTCAGGGATACTCTGACCTATGTGTGATTATTGTCAGTTCATGGCCCTCTGAGCCATCCCAGCCTTGAATTTAATTTTTAAATTTAACATTTATATAGCATTTTACAGCGTACAAAATGCTTTTATTGATATTATCTTACTTAATGAGGTGGGTGTTATTATCATCTCCCTTCTACAGATGAGGAAATTGAGACTTAGAGAAGCTTAGTGACTTGCCACAGCCACACAGCTACTACATCCCTGGTGTATGTCACACTGCCTTTCTCCCCTGTAGTGGGATGCCCCCACTCCTGGCATACCTATGGGCAGCCTTCTACACTATTCTTTTACTTCACAAAGTACCCCAGTCCCTCCCACTTACCACCCTTCCTTGTTCTAGGTCCCCTTTCTCCTTCTATGACTGAGCTGAGCAGTAACTGTCATAAAGGTGATTCTGTGGCCTCCTTTTCCCCAAGTCAGCAAAGGCCGGATGAGGCCTAGTCCAGCTGAGGTGAGAAGTTGAGCCCAGTGGCTGTGGGATGGAGTAAGATAAGGAGAGCCCAGCTTAGCTTAGCTTCAAGCCCTCCCGCACCCAGAGGACTCCCAGGGGCTGATGGATTCAGGGTCCCTCCAAGGCTCAATCTGTGATTTCTGAGGCCACCCTAAGTCAGCTTCAGAGCTTCCTGTGGCATCGTCACAGCCCTGCCACGTTCCAGACATTTCTTAGCTCTTGTCTTGACATTTGCCATACCCTCAGACTCTGTGGTCCTCCAGGTTCCATTCCTGGACTGCACCTCTTCCACATTGCCCAGGCCCTGTCCAGGCTCCCTCCCCTTGGCTAGCTAGCCTCACAGGGTGGAGGTTGGGAGGATCAGGCAGCCAGAGCAGTGGAAGTGCTTTCTAAGCCATAGAGCTGTCATGGATGTCGATGGGGGGTGGGAAGGATGTCCCGTGAGTGTCCCGGGCCTCACCTCCAGCCACCCGTGGACGGCAGCGCCCCTCCTGAGCGTCGTACTCTTCAAGGTCGCTGGGGCAGAGACACAGGAAGGAGCCCTCCACGTTCTCACAGAAAGCAGCCCCACACACGGCCAGCATGAGCTCGCACTCATTCACATCTGCCAGGTGTGAGGACAGGCTTGTGGGCAGAGAAGAGGCAGCCCATGCCCCTGACTCCAGCCCAGCAGGCAGGCCCTCCTCTCATCCCCCCAAAACAAACAGGCTAGGCTTTGAAAGAAGCAAAAATGGGTATGAATTAGCAGGAAGGAGGAACAAATGAACAGAGGGTATGGGAAGGGAGAGAGACTGAGAGGAGTGGTAGAGAAACGGGGTCACTAAAGTGGACAGAGAGGAAGGTCCACTCCCTCTGTGCACAGTCCCCAGAATTTGTGCCGCTTGAAACCCTGGGGTCTCTAGAGAAGCACGACACCTTCACTAATGTGCTTGCTTCCCTGCTGGTAGAACACGGCCATGCTTCCCCTACCAGCTGGCCAAGGTACTGGCTGTAGGATGGAGGTGAAATCTCCCTCTTCCTTGAAGCCTTCCTTGCCCGCTCTACGGGGACCTATTATGGAGTCATGTGACCATAAACATTTCAGGAGGTGTGCCCTAGGGTCTCCATTCAGAATGGCCAAGATCTGTGGAGATGGGAAGAAGGGCCCAAGGGCCTTTCCTTCCCTGGCCCAGAGCCTAGTAGCCCACAAACCTCTCACCAACACAGTCCCAGCCCGAGGGCGAGGTCTCGAAGCCCTGGTCACAGAGGCAGCGGAAGGAGCCGTCGGAGTTGTCACAGTAGCCGTGGCTCCCACACACACTGTTGTTGGCACACTCGTCTATGTCTGTGGGAGAGAGGGGACCAGAATGTAGGGCCTCTCTCTCTTCCCCCGCCGCCCCGCCCCCCCATCCCTCTCTACTGGGAATATTTATTTATTTGGTCTATTAACACCAAGATCTGCAAAAAACAACTCTAAACACAGGATAAGAAAACTCAAATATTAACATTCCTCTTCAATTTTTTGTGTAAGCTCTCCAGTACAGAAAATACACAAACTTCAAATAGCTGCAAAAATCGCGTCTTTGGGAGAAAATAGAGTTTCTACATCAACCCAAGAAAAGTGAGTGTCCTCAGCCCTCCCACCTCTGAGTCTCCCCCTGCTCCGCACTCACCAATGCAGTCTCCAGTTGGGGTCATGTGGAAGCCCAGCTGGCAGCCCAGGACACAGCGGAAGGAGCCAGGGCTGTTCTCACACTTCCAGGCTCCACACACAGAGTGGCTGTAGTCCTCACACTCGTCAATATCTGTCCCCAGAGCCGTAAGAGAGGGCAGAGATGGGACAGGGGTGGTTAGGTCACTGCTCGGGCCCTATCTGTCTGGTATTACAAAGTCATGGCCTACAATCTGGGGTCCTTGCTGTGTTCTGAATTACTGTGCTCATCTCAGCCCCGGTAGATCAAGTTCAGGGTCATTACCCCAACCCAGCAGGGGTGTGCTATCTAGGAAAGCGCTGAGCCCTTAGCCTTCTGCAACTCCTTTTCCTCCACCCCAGTCTCCCCACCAGCTGAGCACTTTATACTTCTTTGTATCAAACCTTTACCATAGTGTGTTACCAAGAGTTGTCTTCATAGCTGTCTCTCTTGCTCAATTTCAAGACTGCCTATAACTGTCTTATTTGTCCTGGCAAAAGACCTTGAGCCTAGCAGGTGTTCAATAAATGTCTGTTGGAATCATCTAGCCTTTTAAAAGAGTTATGTGCTCTGCCAGCACACGATCATGAGTGTCTGCACTTTGGGGCCGGCAGACAGCCCCTGAGCCAGCAGGACCTCAACAAATGCATTATCCGGTGGATGATTCATCTGTGGAAAGCACTCTGCTTCCTGGGAAGCTGCAGGTCCTGGTCCCAGGGAGCTGAAGGCAGGTATGGGGCAGCCCCTTGTCCACTCCCCCAAGTCTTTACCCACACACTCCCCAGTCTCTGGGGAGGGCTGGAAGCCAGTCTCGCACAGACAGTTGAAGGAGCCCTCAGTGTTGACACAGTGTCCTCCCAGACACCGGTCTGTTGCTGCACACTCGTCCACATCTAGAAGAGAAGGCTGTCTGTCAGCAGGCCCAGCCGTGGCCCTGAGAAGCCCATGGGAGGGCCAGGGATGCTCAGGGTAATAAAGGGTCAGGTCAGTGGGAGAGTCCAGGGCCGGAAGCCAGCGGCCAGGCTTGGGGGAAGGGCCCTGGAACTGGGGCTGTGTTGGGGGAAAGGAGAGGCACTTCAGAGAGGGCACATGCCTGTGGAGACCTTACACAGAGGCCCTGGTGAAGGACTCTGAGTGCCTCCCTGAACACTGAGCTGCTGCTCATCACTCCCACCCAGCCTCCTAGCCTCCCATCCCCGGGGTGGGGCCACAAGCTTTCTATTTCAGTAAACCAGTAAAACCAGTTGCCAAGTCGGCTCTGACTCATGGTGATCCCACATGTGTCAAAGTAGAACTGTGCTCCATAGGGTTTTCAATGGATGATTTGCTGGAAGTCTATCACCAGGCCTTTCTTCTGAGGTGCCTCTGGGTGACTTTTGGTTAGCAGCAGAGCATGTGGACAGTTTGTAGCACCCAGGGACTCCTCTGTTTCCGTACTAGCATGAAAATCAACCGGACGGCAGCTGGTCACAGTTTTTACTCCAGACGTAGCCTCTAGCGCCCCCTGCTGCTGACCAATGGCCATGGCCACGCTGGCTTCTTACCCTGGCAGCTCGTGCCCCCCGCTGCGCTGGCAAAGCCGGGTGCACAGAGACAGAAGAAGGACCCATGGCTGTTGAGGCATTCGCCGCGTGGTGCGCAGTGCTCCTCTGCCACACACTCGTCCACGTCTGCAGCGAGAAGATGGGTATGGTGTCTGCTGGACAGCTCCACCTTACATGCACTCACTGCCCCCCATTCCCCGGGGGAGGGGCCACTCACCCTCACACACGGTGCCGTTGGCCAACTGGAAGCCTTGGGGGCAGAGGCACTGGTAGGAGCCAGCCACGTTCCTGCACTCGCCTCCCAGGCAGCTGCTCTGGGGGTCTTCACACTCATCCACATCTGCAGGGCCACGCAAGAGAGGAAGGCAGCTGATGGGAGCACCTCCCAAGGCAGGAACCAAGAGGGAGGTCTCCAGAGGACCCATCACTGCCTGAGGAGGCTGGACCCGTGGAACATCCTCCCCTTATAAAGCAGCACAGCTGGGAGAAGTTTGTGAGGGAGACTTCGGGGAGGATGGTTGACGCGGCCGCTCGGCACCTCCACCCAGCCCCTGCCTCAGCCAGCCTTCTGCAGCTGCTCACAAAACACCCACTTTGGGGACACTCGGCCTCTCCCAGCAACCCTGGCCTCAGGTGGTCAAACCCTACTGCTCTTATCATGGCTGAGATGATTTAGATTTTACTGAGAAGCAATGGGAAAACAAACAAGAAATAAACCAAGGAAAGAGAGATTCAGAGAAACTGAGGTTTCTTAACCTTCTTAAAGTTGGTCTTCAGATTGCCTGGTACACAGGCCATTGTTTCTCAAAATATGGTCCTGGCACACACCCTCCCTAGGAACATTTGAAGTGGTTATTAGAAAACAGATTCCACAGCCTCCCTCCAGAGCCTGATTTCGTGGGTCTGGATCAGGCCCAGGAAGCTGCATGTCTAACAAAGTCCCCTAGTGATGCTGACCCACTCTGAAGTTTGTGAACTTGGTCCACTAGACCCAAGTCTGCAGTTATCCACCTGCTCCTGTTTGGGGGAGGGGTGAGATGTCCCTAGGTGGACAGAGGGTCCCCTGGTCTGGATGCGCCCTCTCCAAGGGTGACAGGTTAGTCTCCTGAGTCCCCACCTGTGCTCTCCTCCCCCACTAGAGGTCTCTTACCTTCACAGGTGTGGCCCAGAGGGCTGGGCCGGTAGCCTCTTTCGCAGTCCTTGCAGGAGAAGGAGCCAACAGTGTTGGTGCAGACTCCTGATGGGCAGACTCCCGGAAAGGCACACTCGTCTAGGTCTGGGGCAGTCAGACAGCCAGTTACCCAGGGAACTGTGAGGGCTCCCCCGACCCCGACACAGGAACCTCACCGCACCTCTGGCCTCCCTCTCTGAGCCTGTAGGACACTCTTCGGCCTCTGGGGAAGGGCAGGCCCTGGCTCTGGGCCTTCTGTAAGGCAACCCCAGAATCCTCTCCCCAGAATTTCCTCTTGTCTCTGTGACTCTCTTTTCCTCCTGTCCCCACCTCTGAACTTGGGGATTCTGATACTGGCAGCTCTTCTTGAGGCCAAGTCCATTTAGAGGGTCCTCTAGCCCAGCTGAAGCCCTGGTGGCATAGTAAAGAGTTACGGCTGCTAACCAAAAGGTTGGCAGTGTGACTCCACCAGCTCCTCCTTGGAAACCCTCTGGGGCAGTTCTACTCTGTCTTATAGGATCGCTATGAGTCAGAACTGACTCGACAGCAACGGGTTTGGTTTTTTTTTCCCCCCTAGCCCAACCTGGAGACCCTCAGCTTCAGGGAGGGCTCATCCCCTGGGTGGCTTTAATCTCAGACCAGCCCAAAGCTGGGGGACAAATGGAGTGTTCTTTGGGAGATACAAAAGCCTGTATTCTCTGCTCCTCCCTCTCCCGCCCCACCCCACCCGAGTTACCTTCACAAGCAGTGCCGTCTTCGTTCACCCAGTACCCGCTCTCACAGGCTGAGCAGGCGAAGGAGCCCTCGGTGTTGAGGCAGAGGCCAGTGGGGCATGCAGCCCGGCTGGCGCACTCATCCACATCTGAAATGGGCCATTGAGTTCTGTGTGGGGGCTCTCTGTAGGACAGCCATGCCCAGGGCAGCCAAAGACTGACAGGCAGGCAGGGGTGGGGAAAGGACAGGACTCAGCAGAAACATGTTGGGCCAGCGTAGTTAGGTATGTGGGACCAGGAGTGGATTAGGGGGTGGGTGCAGAGGAGAAGAAGCCACAGGCTGGAGTTGCTCTGGTCTGGAGGAGGAAGAATGCTTCAGATCTTTGTACCTTGGCAGCCTTTCTCGTCTGAGGTGACCTGGTAACCCTGCTCACAAGAGCATCTAAAGGAGCCGTCCAGGTTGATGCACCTTCCGTGGGCACAGACCCCTGGAGTCAGACACTCATTCACATCTATAGGAGACAAGTCCAAGATGGCGTCTGGCTGCCTCTCCTTCATGCAGCCCCCTATCAACAGGCTTACAGCATCTCAATATGAGACCAGGGAACCAGCCTTCAGGGGGGCTACAGGCCACCCTAGGGAGGTCATGAGGCCATGCTCCCTCATTCCTGCTCCCGGGCTCACCCACCTCAACAGGGCAGTGTGCCCCACGCCTAAGCTCACTTCAGCTCTATCTAGTAACAAAGAGTACCTTGCATATGTCCTAGAAAAGGAAACCAGATCCCCCCAGCCCTGGAGCTGAACAGGTCTATTTGAGGACGCCTAGGGCGAGGTGTCCAAGACCCTGGGCTCACCTTACAGTGGGTCTGAACCTCTCTGGCCTCCTACCTGCCAACCAAACTGGTATGATCCCATGTTCCCAGCCCAACAACCAACTTCAGTGGGTGGGTGGGCACCACAGAGAAGCCATGCCAGACTTGGGTGGCTGAGTGGCAATCTCAAGGGCCTGGGAAACGCCTGCCCTCTCCAGATCCTCAGAGCATCTATTCAAAATTCAGCCTTTTCTGGCATTCTGAACCCCGAGCCCTTCTTCCTGCGGGGGCTGAGGGGAAGGAACACTCCTACTGCTGTCATGCAACCCCCTCTGGAGGGAGGAGGCAACCACTGTTAAGGAAGGCGTTGTTTAGATGTTGCTATTTAGACACAGAAGACCCCACCCCCCTGGGAACTGCAGAAGGGCATGGCTCGTCACCACAGTCAGCCCAACAGGATCCAGCCACAGAAGCTTCCAGGACCTTGAGCTGTAGCTCCTGGACGGATAAGGCCGAGGAGCAGAAGGGGCCCCCACCCCAGCTGATTCAGAGGGCAGAGCAGCAGGAACTGAAGCACACACCCATCTCATGTCCAGTGTCATCCCATGAAGCACACATCCATCCTATGCCCAGCAACAAGGGCCTCCAAGCTGCCTCCTTCTGCCCACCTCTTTCCCTCCCTGTGTATGGGCTCAACCAGATGTCCCAAGGCCAAACAGCCCCTTCAGTGCCTTGGCAAGCAGCCCTCACCTACACAGCTCCCGCTTTGTCCCCTGTAGCCCTCCTCACAGGCCAGACAAGTGTAGGAGCCGGGGGAGTTGACGCATCTCCCATCAGGGCAAGTGCCAGGGTGACGGCATTCATCAATATCTGCAAAATATCATTCCCTCCCTCGGTCATCCCTGAAAACCACAGCACATGGGTAGGTCTGTGAGGAAGCAACTCCTTGACCCTGCCCTTGGTTGGGGAGAGGGATGTCAGTTTCTACGCAGATGAAAATAGGAAAGAGTGAGTCATCCTGTGTTCCCAAGCCTTGGTCATTAACTCCACCTCCCACCCACTGTCCTTGACAAAAGAGAGAGATGGAAGGATTTAAAAATTAGAAGGGGAGATACCCTGGGTGGGTGTAATAGGCTGTGGTGACCACTAGCTGTGGGCGGATCAGAGAGCTCTGCTTTGTAAGCTGGACTGTTTGGGGTGGGCCTTCATAACTCCCTTGGTGAACTCCTTGCCTTTACAAGTGGTGGCCATTACTGGCATTGGGCGTGCTTAGCCCAGCAACAAGTTGGATTGTGGCCAGAGGCCCTAGAATAGATCACCAGAGGGGCAGTAAAGGCAAAATGGGCTTCCCGGCACCAGGAAATGAGGCCTGAGGATGAGTCCTCAGTCTTGGACACTGCCAAGACTAGCCTTGAGGCCAGGACGAACTTTGGGGTGGAAGCTGGCAAGATGTCTCCACTGGAGAGGTGTCAGACCTTTCTTGCACCTAGTAGGGTGCCCAGCACCCATTCTGGTAAGACCCCAGCCAGAAAGGATGAGCCTGAGCACCAGCCGGGCAGGCAGGGGAAGAGGAGGCCCAGGGAGAGACAGGACAGCCAGTCCTGGGACACTGACAAGGAGAAGGAGGAGGGAGGTGTTGCTCCCAGGAGCTGCAGGACAGGGTTCTTCTTGATGAGACCTGGCATCCTGGGGAGTCCATCATAGCAAACACCCCAAGGTACCCACGGGACCTGGGGTAAGTTAGGGAGGTCATATCATAGGGACTGAAGTCTGGGTCAAAATTGCAAGGACATTAGTCTCCTCCAGCCCAGTGTCAAGGCTCCTGGTCACTATTCATGACAGACAAATTGGTTAAGCTCCAGAGGAAGCAGAAGGACTTACTCTTCCTAAAGAGGTAATTCTTATTCTTCTGGATTGAGATCTGTACTGCCTTGGAAGAAGATCTACTCAGTACCCATGCATGAATAGAGGACACACTTCTGGACTGCAGGAAGCAGGGCCAAGGGTCTGAACACAGGCTTTCTGTAAAGGGCTAAAGCCCAGCAACTGTCATTGCAGAACAGGACATAGACCCTAAACCTGAGGGTGAAATGAGTCCCCCTGAGGTTGTTTGGGCTGCAGAAGTCAGGACACATCAAAACCCTCATTCCCAGGGGACTAAGGCCCTCAAAAGCCTAAAGCTTCCCCTTGGTGAGGGTGGCTTCTGTCAACCTCCCAGTGTGCCAAGAGGGTCCAGAGTAGGAAGACATCCCGCAGGGCAGGTAGTCATTCAGTGAGCTTGGCTAGGAGACACCCAGAACTCTCCAGGACAGATGTGGGCAATCTTGGGGACACTGAGATAAGGCTCATCTCTGGAGAGAGGGCAGCAAAGAGCCCCAAGCTGGGTTGTGGTGACACCAGGCTAAACTATTCTAAAGTTTCTGTAAAGACAAGACAGAGACAATGAGACAGAGATGGAGAGAAGGAAGGATCTAGGACCACCTACTTTGGCCACCCAGGAGAGAGCAGCCATGGCCTAGTGGCTTTGGCTGAGTTGCCTGATGTAGGATGGAGGATGGACAAAGCCATTGGGAATGATAAGAAATCCCTGCTTCAGGGATGTGAGGCTTTAGGGACGAAGAGAAAAGAGACTGAGGCAAGGATCTTCCTCAGACTAGGCTGAGAAAAAATGAAGTATATGGACCTCTTTCCCAGGGATCAGGCAACACAGGAAGGAGATTATGTTTACCAGGAGCAAGGAGCCCTGAGGTCTATCTTGCCTCAGCATAGCTTCTGGAGGTGGTGCACAAAGTGTCTTATGCTGGGCATTTAGGACACATGTGCCACTGATTCTGGTCACTAAATAGTTCCAGCTCCCCAGTTTCTGGCCTATGGTAGGCTTGTGCTTCCTGGGCCCTTGTGGTTGGGTGGGGTCATGGGATTAATGCAGGCCAATGCGTTACGAGTGGTTATGATGTGTGCAGTTTATGGACCAAAGCATTTAATTGTGTGTGACCCTGCCGAGTGCTTTTTTTTTCTTCTGTGGAGATGGGCCACATTTGAGATATTGGCTTTCCTTGAGCCTGATTCTAGAGTGAGGAAACATGGGGAAAGGCCCCCAGCTGACCCACGAAGGACAAGTGGCATTGGTGAGATATAAAATTTTGCTGTTCTAACTCACTAAGATTGGGGGCTATTTGTTAATGCTGCATAACCTAGCCTATCCTGGCACATCACTGCTGGCTTCCTCCCTCAGTCCAGAGCCCCAGCCAGTGATTATCATACATGAGAGATCTGTCAGCAAGGGGGAGAGAGAGGGCAGGAGATCAGAGCAACCTTGAGTCTCCACCTGAGCCATGGCAGGGCTCTGCTGAATGGGAGTGGATATAACTGAGACATTAGCCATCACAAGGAGCCAGATAAAGATTCTGGATGAAATGGATTCTGTGACCAGTTTCCTGAGGCTGCTCCACCAATCCTGGTGCTTGGACTGGGGCCAGTCACTGGGTGCAGGTTTTCTGCCTAGCCTAGGGTTTGAAGTTTATCTAAAATTATGTTTTAGCAGGTTGTCGGGGGCAGGAGCAATCTGTCTTATTTATTGCTATCTCCCCAGCATGTGGCTGGCATGCAGCTGTCAGTCAACAAATGTTTGCTGACCAAAGAACAGGACCATGTGCCTAAAACTTCACCCATCACCCTCTTGGTTGAGGCTACTGAAGAGACCCCAAAAGACCTGCAGAAGCAGTTGTCCGGGGAACCAGCATAATCTGCCGTCTATACAGTATAAAGAGCCCACAGCTTACCAGGCTTCAGCCTTTGCATGAGGAAGTGTAAAGGCACCCACCTCTATTCCTTGTAAGAACGTGGGGTGGGATGGGGATGCTCAGTCAGGGGCCAGAAGCTCAGGTGACCTTGGATAGGGAAAGGGGACAGCAAAGACCCTGGTAGTCTGCAGGGGAATCCAACTCCTATCCATGGGAACCCGGAGTCCTGGTGTGATAAAAATGCCATTGAGACAGCTAGGTGGGCCACTCTCCAGACCACTCAGGCGTTTAACCACAGACCTTGAGTTTTAAGTGGAGAGAGTGGTTTCTCAGTTGGAGAAAGAAGTAAGAGGGAGAGGAAATTGACTGGGCTCCTGGGGTGATGGGCTGGGCCTGTGGTTACTGATGGAAACCTGGAGAAGTGTACAGACTACATCATTCTTTCTTTCAACAGACTCTGAGTGTCTGCTCTGGGCCAGGAACTCAGCCTGACCTCCCAGCCAAGGCGTATGTCTAGACCTTTCCTCTGGAAGAGAAGGGGACAATCCAGAGGACTGGATGGGGTGTGGGGGGAGTCTAGATATGAAAAAGAATGAGGCCTGTAAAGAGAATAGTGAAATACTACTTAATAAAATGGTAAAGACTCACTCTTTACTGAAGGTCTGAATGTGCCAGAGACAATGCCAAACACTTTGTATATATTAGCTTATTTGGTTTTCATAAGAGCGTATGAGATAGATATTATGGCCCCCATTTTAAGATGTTGAGATAAGAGCCAGACCCAAGTCTGTCTCCACCAGAGCCTGTGCCCTTAACATGGACTGATTAGCAAGTATTTCAAAAGTCAGATGTTTTTAATTGTTTTGGTATGTTCTTGGTTTATCTCTGTTAGTTTCACTTTTCTTTATTTTAATAAAGTCAATGTCAAATGCATAAGGTTGTTGTCATGCTTAAGTTAGGTAATTTATCAAGTACCTGGCACACAAAATAGGCTTCCATCAAATGCTAACTCCCTCACTCTCCTTCGTCCTGGAAATGCCAAGCTGTCTTGTCTCCATCACACTAATGAGGACAAAGGGAGTGGGCTCTGGCTCTGATCATGTCTAGGCCTCAATTTTAAAGGGGGAGAACCAAGAGGGAGGCGTTGAGAGACCCTAGGTGACATGCAAGGGAGCTCAGACAGGGGGAGAGTTGGCTGTCCTACACCTGCATCCTTCTTCTTTGCTAAGACCTAGACTCTGGTCTTTGCTTCCATGGTAGCAGTCCGAGAAAGGGCGTTCTCCCTTCACAAGGTACACAAGCTCATCCCTCACCTCCAGGGCCCTCTGCAACCAGGAAAGTCCTGGCTAGGGAAACCTGGATGCTAGGATGAGTCTGGGCCTAAGTTCAGACCCAGGGCAAGGTTTCTTTCTAGACAAAGCCTTGATTTACCCTCATTTACTCCTGTCTCAGCTAGTCTTGGGAGCACATGACCTAGGCCTCCTGCAAGCATCTGACACCGTTGCCTGGCAGGTTGGTGGTGGTGGTGGACCTGCCACCAGGTATTCAGAGCTAGGCTGATAATGGCAGGCTCAACCAGTCTGTGAGGAGGCCACGTGGCAACATGGCAGCTGCCTTTTGACTGGGCGTGGGAAAGGGGGCAAGGATCCGGGTTCTGCCATTCATTGTTTGATTCTTTCATTCATTCAACAAGGGTTTGTTGAGTGCTTATTGTATGTCCATGCCTGGGCCGTCTAAGGATTGATCCAGCCCTCAAGGAGCTCATATTCCAACAAGCTTTAGCAGAAGGCCAAGGCTGAGGACCCAGGTGACTCCCAGGTAGACAGACTCTCTCCCTCTGCCACACGAGGAGAGTAGCATTTTCAAGGCAAGGGGGCAGAGGTGTCCTAGGGCAGGCCTGGGCCAGGTGGAAGATGCCGCAGAGGCAGAGGGGATGTTCTCAGGATCTCATGTAGATAAAGTTACTTGCCCCCACCCACGGTGGGCTGCAGATAGGATGCCAAAATATCAGTGAGGGCATGGAAGGACTCAGGAATCCCCAGACACATCTCTGTCCACAGGAGTGGGCTCAGCCTCAAGGGGCCCAGTTGGGGACAAGCTAGAAGGGGAGTTGGTAGTGGGCAGTGCAAGGGGAGGAACCAGGAGATAAGCAGGTGGCAGGCTGCCCTCCCTATTTCTGTTCCTTACCTTGGCAGTGTCCCTTCCTGGCCATGATGTAGCCCTGGTCACACTCGCAGTGATATGAACCCTCGGTGTTGGTGCACCGCCCCCCGGTGCACGCCTCTGGTTGTTCACACTCGTCTATATCTGTAAACACACAGAAAAGTCCTGAGTTGGGGCCATGCCTGGAAGGGGACCTGGCTTCCCTTCCAGAGGCCATGCTGGGGTCCAGGCAGGGAAGGTGTCCTTGCTGCAGCCATGATTGGCAGGAGGGGCCCCTACGCCAGGTCTGACACAGATCTAGCGAAGGCCCCTGCTTACCCTCAGCTCCTCCCTCTCCGGTGGGCTACTCTTTGGGCCCCCTCTGGGCCTTCACAGCTGTCCCCTCACCCTGATGCCAGGGTTGGGAACGTGCCTTATTTATCTCAGGGTCCCCCATGCCCAGCACAGAGCCTCAATAAGTGCTGACTGAATGAATCAAATAATAATCCTATGTTTGTGGATAGTGTTTTCATTTGAGCAATGCTTCATAAAAACTTCATTGTCTGACAGAGTTGCTGGCAGGTGTGAAAATGCACATTCCTAGGTCCACAACCAGAGCTTCTGACCCAGCAGTACTGGGTGGGCCCAGGAACCTGCATTTTAATAACTCCCCAGGCAATTCTGAAACAATTGGCCCTTGGTTTGAGAAACTCTAAGCCTAATGGAACAGAACAGGAAACTAGGAGGCAGAGCCATGTGTATTAAAAAAAAAAAATCAGTGGGGCCAAGATGGTTGTCTTATGGATGGTGTCTCAATCTATGGAGACAAAGAAAACTGGGTTCTTCCCACCATGCAAAGGTGCACTTCAGGTAGATTAAAGCATAACTGTGAAAGATGAAAATATAACCTTCATAGGAGAGCATGGAGAATATCTTTGTGACTCAAGAGTGGGGAAGAACTTCTTAAATAAAGCTTCAAAAATACACAAAAAAGGCAAAAAGGTGAATTTCAATATATCAAAATTAAGAATTTCTATTCAAAGAAGGACATGCGGATAAGGTTAATGGGCAGAGGACAGGAGGTTGCAATATCTAAACCTAGCAAAGTATCTAGAACATACAAAAACCAGTTGCCGTTGAGTCAGCTCCGACTCATGGTGACCCCATATGTGTCAGAGTACAACTGTGCTCCATGCGGTTTTCAATGGCTGATTTTTCGAAAGTAGATTGCTAGGCCTTTCTTTCAAGGGGCCTCTGGGTGGACTCAAACCTCCAATCTTTTGGTTAGCAGCAGCTGAGCATGTTAACCGTTTTCACCACACAAGGACTCTAGAATAAAAAAATAAAAGCAAAAAACCAAACCCATTGCCATCAAGTCAACTCTGACTCACAGCAACCCTATAGGACAGAGTAGAACTGTCCCATAGGTTTCCAAGGCGCAGCTAGTGGATTTGAACTGCTGACCTTTTGGTACAGCAGCCATAGCTCTTAACCACTGCACCACCAGGGCTCCCTAGAACATAAGGGACTCCTAAAAAAAACTACAAGAAAATACAGCAACCACCACTGGAAAAATGAGCGAAAGATACGATCAGCAGTTTACAGATGAGGAAACCCAAAAGGCTAACATGAAGAGGTGCTCCCCTTATCCCTAGTAATAATGAAAGTAATGAGATACACTTCATGAGACTGGCACAATCTACAAAGTGGATACGGTCTCGGGTAAGGCCTCATCAAGCCGCAGCCAGGCCCCGATGGGAGAAGCATTTCCCTAGACAATGCCCCCCCACCCCAATTAGCTGCTGGGGATAGCAGAGATACCCCGACACCGGGCTGGAAAATGAGGAACTCCTTGTCTGGGCCAGCCGTAGAGACACCATCCCCTGCAGCAGCCACTGCTTGTCCCCGCCAGCTACCCCGGCTCCGCCTGCAGGGAGCAGAGCGGCTGGCCCACAATCCCAGCTAGGCTCCGGGCAAGTCCCGGGAAGCCCCTGCCTCAGCCCCTCCCCTGGCTCTCCCCGGCCCCTCCCCCCACTCGTCGGCCCCTCCCCTCGCCTTCTGGGCATCTCCCCTCGCTCGCCGGCCCCTCCCCTCGCTCGCCGGCCCCTCCCCTCGCTTCCTGGACCCCTCCCCTCGCTTCCCGGCCCCTCCGCGGGCTCCCCTGGCCCCTTCCCTCACTCCCCTCGCCTGTTCTAAGCCCTGTTGCTTGACTCACTCCCTGAAAGCCAGCTGACTGCATCGCCACCCTTCTGCTTACAAACGCCTCCAGGCTGCCCACTGCCCATGGGACGGTGTCCAAGCACTTCAGCCTGGCACTCAGACACTCCACAAACTGGCCTCAACTCCTGCCACTTCCTCCACGTGTCCATGCGCCAGTCACATTGAATTTATCGCCATTTTTCCCAGCGCATACCAGGCCTGTTTACTACTCTACTCTGCAGAAATGGTTCTTTTACCTAGAATACCCTCTGTGCCCTCTATCCTTATCCATGCCCCACAGTTATGCCAACGCCCTGCTTCTAAGGAAGTGCGTCATTGGAAGCAAAGCAGGGTGTGGAACTGGAATGACTGATTCTGTTCCCAGCTCTGCCATGACTAGGTGTGAGATCCCTGGGTGTTTCAAGTCACCTTTCTGAGCCTCAGTTTCCTAAACTATAAAATGAGGATAAGGATTTCTACTGCGTGGGGTTGGGATGATAAGCTTCACGTAATAAAGTGCTCAGGACAGTGCTGCATTAAATGGTAGCTATTTATTCTTAGAGGAGTCCTTAGGTGGCAAAAACGGTTAAGTGCTCAAGCTACTTCCGAAAGGTCACAGCCTGGAAAACCATATAAGGCAGTTCTACTCTGCACACATGGAGTTGCCATGAGTCTACCCAGAGGCACCTTGGAAGAAAGGCCTGGTGATCTACTTTCAAAAAATCAGCCATTGAAAGCTCTGTGGAGCACAGTTCTACTCTGACACACATGGGGTCATCATGAATCAAAATTGACTCAACAGCAATTGGTTTTATTATTATTCTCCCCCAGCTAAAACACCCCCCTCTGGGAAACTTCCCTTACTTCTTCATATGGAGCCAAGTGCTTCTTGATCTGGATCCCACAGTGTCACTATTCATATCTTACTCATCTCAGTATCCCCAGAGCTTAGCACAGTGCTGGGCACATGTTTGAGTGGGGAATGAATGAATAAATGAATGCACACTCTTCAGTTAAGTTAGGGGATATGTCTCTTCCACTCCTCCTTGCCCGCAATCAAGTCTCTGCATACCAGATCTTGGGCAGACATGCATGGGGATTAGCAGCAAGGGGACTCTGGCAATGGGAGGATATACAGTCCCTTGCCTCCTGGGAGAGGCCTGTGAGTGACCACTGGCCAGACCAGCAATGTGTGCCCAATGTGTGCCGTTCTCAGGAAGAGGATTCCAGCTGGGTTATGAATCCTAAGGCACTGCTAGGAAAGGGCTGCATGGTATATTCTTGGTGGATTCATTCGTTAAAAAGCATGTGGAGTGTTTTGTACAGCAGTATAAACCAAAAAACCAAACCTTTTGCCATCGAGTTGATTCTGACTCACAGTGACCGTATAGGACAGAAACAGCTGGTGGATTTGAACTGCTGACCTTTTGGTTAGCAGTCATAGCTCTTAACCACTGTGCCACCAGGGCACCACAGCAGCATAAATACTGCACATTAAAGCGTTTGCTTTGGAAGCTGTCTTTACTGCAAGTCCCCAAGCAGTGGACCAGGCCTTCCCAGGGAAACTCAAAGCCTTGCTGGCGTCTCCAAGCTGCTGGGGACATGTGATCCTCTCTCAAAGGCACGCCCTGCTCCACAGTCTGCTGGGGGCCCCCGCTCAGGGTCCTCACGGGTCGCCCTCCTTCCCCAAAATGAAAGTAGCTCCTCATCACCCAGAGTTTGGGGACCTGGCTTTTAGTCTCCATCTCCAGCCACGTCCCCTGACCTCGTTACACTCTCTGCTCCAGCCACAGCTCCTGGAGCTTCGCGAATGTTACTGCCTTTTGGAATGGTACCCTTCCTTCCGGTCTCAGCTAGGCTCTGCTTCCTCCCAGGCCCAGGTTCAAGCCCTCCTCTCTGTCCCTGCGGCCCCCCTACACGCCCCACACTGCAGCACTGTGTCTGGGTGTGGTAGATGCCTGCTTCCTCATCCACCCCCAACTCTAGACGGAGAGTGTCCATGTCAGCCCCGTGCCTGGGAGAGCAGACCCTCCACCAAGACTTGCTGAATTGGTGAAGGAAGGATGAGCAGTGGGCTCCTAGGAGTGAGGTGGTGCAGCAGCTAGGCTTGTTGCCTCCCCTACTGGGCTGCTCAGTGAGGAGCCCCACCAAGACTCGTTCTCTGGGGCCATCTGGGGGTAAGGGTGGGCTCGGCTTACCTTGGCACTCCTGCGTGGCCCCCAAGGTATCCAGCATATAGCCAGGGTAGCAGAAACAGGAGTAGGAGCCCACACGGTTGACGCAGCGTCCTTTTCCCCCGCAGGGGTCCCTCAGGCACTCGTTGTCGTCTGAGCCAGAGGGAAAGAGAGATGAGGTCAGGGAGGTCCACTGTGCCTTTCTTGGGGCACCTGCCAGCAACCTGCCCACACTAGGGGGCTGGGCAGGTGATAGTGCTATGGGCAGGGAGGGTGAGGGAACAGAGGCCGGGGGTCGGGAAGAAAAATTTCCAGGGCTGGGAACCCCACAGGTAGCCCATCACCAAGGGCACTTCCTTCCTGCTCCCTGACCCCTCTCCCAGTGGCCCTGCGGTCACCTCTTTTCTCCTCCAAGGCCACAGCAAATATTCATGTAAATCAGATCTCCCTTGTATAAAAATATTGGGGTGAGGGGAGGGGTTGAGCTACACTTGGAGATTTATCTGGGCCCCAAACCTCTCCCCCCAGGGATGGCCCTGGTGAGACATTTACAAGTAGGGCAGCAAGATGCCCACTCTGAGGGGTTGGCCGATCTCGGGGCACTGGTGTGGATTCCCACCCTCCCAGAGCCCTGGAGACTCACCGATGGGGCTACAGAGACTGGTCTTTTCCCGAAGGTTATGGTTAGCTTTGTCCACGGGGACCACGTCCCTCCTAAACCCATCAACCCACGCAGCACTGCTTGGAGCTTCCGCTGCCTGCACTCTTGACTCAGTCCCTCACCCTGCTCCCATCCTCCCCAGACACTAGGTGAGCCAGGACGCCAGAGTCAGTACCTGTGCAGTAGGCCTGGCTAGGGTGTAGCTGGTAGCCGGGGCTACAGATACATCTGTATCCATCTGGGAGGTTCACGCAGGTTCCAGGGCCACAGATGTTGGTGGCTCCCGTGGCACATCTATCAATGACTGCGGGAGACAGGGCAGCACAGAGGTTATGGCAGGTGGGGGATGGGCCAAGGCAGTGGGGAGGGTGAGGAGAGTGTGGGGGAGCAGGGCATAGAGGTCTCAGAGGACCAACAGAAGTCTCACCCTACCCTTAGCCAGGCCCTCCCACAACCGTGCATAGCACGGCTTCGTCTAAGACCCCACTGGACCTCCCCCCAGGGCCCCGAGCTCTACCAGGATGGAGCTCAAAATAGCGCATCCCCCTGACCTAGACCCAGCAGGGTCCAGTAACTTGTGCATCTCCACAAAGGGTGTCTGGCCTGACCTCACCCTGAATCCAGGCACTGCTCTCGCCCATGATGCCCAGTGCTACCCCTCCCTGGCAACACATGCCCATTTTCTTCTAGACCAATGGGCAGATCTGGTGAGCAGGATGCCTGGGGGAGACTACCAGGGGAAAAGGGAGAGGTGGGCCACACTGAGACTGGCCTGTGAGCAAGGGGGTGATAGGAGGTGTGAGTGTGATCAGAAAGTTGTCTCAGAAAGGCCTCTCAGGCAACAAGTTGGCAGACGGACTGCAGTGGGGAGGCACAGGGGGTCCCTAGAAAGCTGCTGAAATAATTTAAACGAGGGCTGCCTTGGGTGTTGGCAATGAAAAGTGGGAGGCAGACACTGAATTGAGAAACATTTCGGAGGCAGACTCAACAGGACTCAGGAGACTGTACAGAGGGCAGATACTAGATTTTGAATTGTGTTCCCAATAGTAGAAAAGTTCCTGGAACTTACAACGTGCTGAATGAATGAATAATGATGCGGTCAGTCTCTGTGCCCACTGAGGTCTTAGCCTGAAGCCCACATACCCAGGGGTCCTCCTCCACAGCATTGGAGGTGCTGGGAATGGCCTGAGAGATGCAGGGAATGGCCTGAGAAGTGGCCTGTGCTGGTACAGTGGGGCTCAATAGTATTTGCTACATTGGGCTGAACTGAATATGCACAGTCCCGTTTGCAATGTTACTCTGTCCCCTGGCCTAGTTCCAAGTTTGCATCAGCCTGGGGGCTCGTAAGGATCCCTCAAATAGGTTCTAAATATCTGCTCAGAGGAGTGAGGTTGAGGGTGGCAGGCAAGAAGAATGGGGATCAGGTAAAAGGCTGCTGGTAGTCGTGGTGGTGGGGGATTCTGTCCCCCCACATAGCTGAGAATGGCTGCTAAGCCTGGGCCTTGCCCTTTCCCCCAACCCTACCCCTTGCCTTTGCCCCTGCCTCCAGGACCAGAGCTGAGCCCCTAGCTGAGCCTCTAGCCCAGCACACCTTGCTTCTTGAGCAAAGAAGGGAAATGGATGCTCCCTGGAGCAGTGCTCTGAGTCCAGAGGAGAGAGGTCCTGGGAGAGGTCAGGGGGAACAGTCTGGTTCAGGCCTGGGAAAGCCAGAACCCTCACCCCCTGGACCTTTCCACAAACCACAGGGTCTCTCCCTTTGCCAGAAGAAATACAGAAATCCCCCCAGTCTGACTTGGGCCTTCAGACCTAGGTCTGTGAGTTTAAGACAGCAGCGAGCCCCCGGAGAGGGAACGTGTGAGGCGCCCACATGACAGCACGTGACACACGTGTGCACACACATGCGAGCACACACGTGCACAGGGAGCAGCAACGACAACACCAGCCTGCTTCTTTTGGACCAAGTCCCCAAACAATGTGACTTTGAGGAGGGCACATTCCAGAGCAAGGTGGATTTGCCAAGGATCTCCCCCATCCCACCCCCATCATTGCAGTCGGCCAGAGGGAGGGGAACGCAGGCTGCTCTCAGGCGGTTTAACAACCTTGAAAAACAGAACCTTGGAAATTGGCCCTTCCTGTGGGCAGGAGGCCTTCCGCTGCCAGGGCACTCAGCTGACTCTGGGTAAGCAGCCTAGACGGGCCAGGCTCAGAAGCCCAGCTTCATGGGCTCTCCTTCCTCGAGAGGCCCCCTGGGGGTCTCCTGGAGTAAGACCCTCCCCACAGAGCCCCGTCTTTTTCTGCTCTCGGGCTTGACAGTCTCCAGATGAAGCTCGTATTCACTAGGGGTACCCTGTAAGATGAGGCCAGGGACCCTTAGCCTGGGCCAGAAGTTCACTAAAGGGGAACTCTAGAGAATTCCACTCATGCTCCTGCCCTGGAGTCGGCTCTGGACAGCCAGACCATGCAGGGTAGGATGCCAAGAGCCCTCAAAGGACTGGCTGCAGGTACCTGGGGGGCTCAGGGTCACCAGCACGTCGGTGAGGGAGGTCACTTGCTGTTCTTCCCAGGTCTCTGTAATCACCTGTGCGGGTAGTGGTGGCGTGGGTCGTCCCATGGCATCTGCAGAAGGGAGCAGGCAGGATAGGCGTTCCTTCCAGAGTGGCCTTTCCCGCCTCCCTGCTGTTCAGACTCCCAAGAACCAAGGGTGGATCCCAGGGCAGGGTACCCATCTGCCTTTTGGTCTCCTGAAACTTGATCCGGCCACATATAGAATTAGAGGATCTGACACTCTAACAGGAGTCTGAGTCATCTAGTCTCACCCCATTTCATCAGGCAAGGAGACTGAGGCTCACAGAAATGGCCACTTGTCCAAGGCCAGCCGGCTTGTTAGAAGCTGAGCTCAAGCCCAGGTCTTCTGATTCCCACTTCAGCATTCTTTTCCTTCTGTTTGCAAAGCACTTTACACTTTACAGAGCTCTGCCACAAACGTCACTATCTTATTTGCCCTGCTGGGCAGCAGGGCGGGTATGATTGCCCCATTTTACAGGTGGAGAAAGCTGAAGCTCAGCCTTCTGACTCCCAGCAGTGGTGACGGTCAAGCTGCTCTGCAGAGCCCTAACAGCTTGGAGGAGGTGTGACAGGGCCACTGGGGGAAAGCGCTTCAGGTACCCAACCACCCCCTGCTCCAGGTATTGCCTCCTCTTGGGTCTGGTTCATGTGCTGAGCAGCAACACGACATTCAGAGAGAGCTTGGTGGCTAGGAAAGTATTGCACAGCATCCCAGTGCCTCTCACTGAGAGCATCTTAAGTGCATGTGCTCCACAAAGAGCATTCACGTACGTCACGTCACTCATGAGTTCATCTGATTTGAGCCCCATGGATCAGTTCACATACAGTGAATTCACCACCAGATTAAGGTCTCTCCTTCCATCCCTTCTTTTTTCCCTGGGAGCCACCAGGAAGAGGGACTCACCTGGGACCCAGATAGGTGCAGGGGTGACACTGGTCGTGACCTGCACAGAAACAGAAGCAGGTCAGTCTTGGCTCCTCTGTCACTCCCATGATGTGCTTTCTCCCACCACATTCACCCCCACCTTTCTGTCCAACTCACTCATTCACTCTTTCATTCATTCCAGGTATTGATGAGTTCTTACTATGTGCCAGGCATTCTGCTAGATACTTTATATCAGTGGCTTATTTATCTTCTCAACCATCCTGTGAGGTAGGTAGTGTGACAGTAGTGCTCCCCCAGTGTTATAATGATTAACTGAGCTAGTGACTGGGAAGTGCCAGCTCAGTGTCTGGCGTATGATGGAAGATTAGCAAGTATGGCACCAATGCTATGGTCTCCACTTCTCAGGTAAAGACTCGGAAGCTCCAGAGGTTAAGTAGCCTACCTGGGGTCACAGAGCCATACTTGCTGAAGCTGGGACCCAGCACGACATCTGGTGCCCCTTACCACAGCCCAGGGACAGAGGCAGAGCAGCTGGCAGTGGGAAAATGGCAGGAGAAGAATGGGCAGAAGATGAAAGAGGGACTGGAGCCCGCCGGGGTCTGTGATGATGCAGATTTAGAGCTTTGGCTGAACGAAGAACATGTGGCGCTCCAGCGAGAGAACAAGGTCATTGGAGAAACAGTATTTGGGGACAGTCAGGTATGTGGTTGGAGAGGCTGGGGAGGAGGGAGGGACTAGCAGACTGCCAAGGGAAGAAGATTTACTTGTTTTGAATGTTCTTCCAGGAGGACACCCAGTTCTTTACTGGGGAATCCTAGGCACAAGGAAGAGGGCAGGACCCCTTTCTCAGTGAAGTGGTTTGAGGATATTCACAGCTGTGACTCTATTTCCCCACCAGCCTCTCACAGAGGAGAACTTGACGTTTAAGCAAAATGGGTTCAGAAAGTGCTGAATCCAGAATGAATCTGGAAACAGCTCTAGACCTCCAGGACACGTTCCTATTTCCTTTCTGAAGGGACCCCAGACCATCCCAGTTGAGAACGCTTGCAGAGTAGCTGGCACAGAGCTTAGCATACAGTAGCTGCTCCATACGGAGGAGCAGACGTTATTTTTCCTTTGGGGTAAAACTGGGTCTTTGGATCACCCCTCCCACTTTGTCATCTCTCCAAGTAATATCCTACACATACTCCACCTTTCTCCCTTTCCTCCCTCCGGGGACACTGTCCTGGGGCCTCCGAGGCTACCAGGTCCCCGCTCTCTGCCATACTTGCCCAGCTCCCTCGTGGGAGGACTCACTCACCTGGCCATCCTGAGAGTCACCTGGTGGGGGAAAGGTGAGAGCATGGGCTCAGGGAGAAGAGTCTGGCTGCCCTCCCCCTCCTGTCCATGGCCTGGGCTGGCTCAGAGACTGCACCCTCTTGACCTTGTCCTAGACAGGGCCAGCAGCAGGGAGAGCTTGGATTTTCTTACCTGCCTACACGGCCACCCTTCAGTACCCGCCACCCCTGGAACTGGTCACCACAGACTCCCAGAATCCCCAGGTCTGGAGGGCCTTAGCCTCTCACTGCTTTCCTTTCAGGCTTTCCAGTGACAGGCGTCCCCCACCCACCTTGTGCCATCGACCCCATCAGTCCTAGCTGTAATCCACTTCCGTACGCTGCCACCTCCTCCCTCCCAACCCCCCACCCCAGCCACACATGGTCAATCAGCCGCCCTGCCCTGGGCTATGGACCAGGGGAACCAGTTCTAGGAAGGAGAGGAATTGTTCCTAGCTTGGCCAGTATCCAGTTCTCTTGACGGCTAGGGCTCTGTCCTACCTTCCCTGTCTGTCTGCTCCCGAATCCTGGGGTAGATACTGGCGATCTCATAGGTCACCTGGTCCTAATACGTTCCTGGCCGCCTGAATGCAACTGCTACTAGTAACCCAGGTGTGCCTCTCCGTGTGTCTCCAGGGCACCTGCCAGGGGAGCCTCAAGCCCGGGCTCTTTCCAACCCCATGCCTGCTGGGTCCAAGGCAGTTGAGCTGGAGCTGGTGCTCTGGCTCTAAGGCCAGGGTAGGGGATCTAAAACATGCAGGCTCCCCAAGGACCCACCTGCCAGCTCTCCATGCCTTGCAGCAAGCACCAGCCCCGGAAGATGCATGGCTGGGGGCTGGGGCAGGAGAAGCTGGCCAGCTGGGGTGGGGGCTGCTATTGACTTCTCCATCCTCCAGAAGCAACTCCCTGGGATGTGGGCAGCTCTTCAGGCCATATGGGAGAGGAGGGGGTAGAGCCCTTCCTGGCAGGCCAGGCCAGGACAGAGGGTTTCCAGGGCTGGTGCTGCTGCTCCAAGCTCCCTTTCCTGATGCCCCGGATAAACCAGGGTACACACCCAGCATAAACACTCAGTGGCTATTTGGAGTGCTATAGCCTTAGGGGAAAGGGGAACCCCTCAGGCATCCCGCCCCAGCCCAGATACCCTTGTCAGGGATGGTCTCAGCCTCGAGCCAGGTGCTGGTGGCTGCCCGGAGTGGCTGCCTCTCCGCTGACCCAGGTAGGGTCCCATTGCTCTTTGGCCTTTGCTCCCTGGAGGGCCTGGCCAGTTCCTCCTCCTCAGCTTTCCTCACGGACAGGCGGATGTCTGAGCTTGAGTAGGTGTAGCCATGGCCAGCCGGGCAGATTTCCCTGAAGGCCTCTGCAAGGTCAACAACCAGAGGAGAAGCTGAGAGGTGCCACTCCAGAAGGAAACCAGGGCCCTCCCTCCCTCCCTTTGGGGACAGGCAGTTGAGGCAGTGAGGAGCGAGACCCAGGTTGGGGTGAGAGGTTGAGCAGTGAGGGAAGATTAGGGGTCCGCTGGCTTGAGGGAGGCCCACCCAGGCTGGGGAAAAATAGCCACTGGCTTTGGTGACCAGAGCTGGGAGGCAGAGGGTTACCTGTGCCAGGAGGGGGGCATTTCTCACACCCAGGGCCCCATGCTTTGCCTACACGGCTGCAGCAGCATATCTGTTTGGTGATCCTCTGGACCAAAGGCAGGGTGCAGGTGTGAGGCCCCAGCGACCGGTAGCACAGTCCCTGCTGCATGGAGACAGCTTTGTCCGCTGCAAGACACAGCATGTGGCAGTGGACAGACGGCCAGTGAGAGGGGGATGCATAAGCAGGGAGGAGGGTCGTGGATGGAGGTGTGGCCATGTGTACCCAGGGAATGGCCGGGCCCACTCCTCAACCTGGAAGTTTGGGACACCAAGAAAGAATGCTCACAAGAATTTTGGAGGGACAGCTGCAGGGGGACACCTGAGCACCTCCTCCTATTCTTGTTTGATGAGACCCTTGAACCTGAGAGCAGGAAATGACGATGTAGCTGCTTGTCTCCAGGGGCTGAATTCAAGGTGGTTACCAAAAGCCCAATGTGTGTCTGGGGTTAAGTGGGGAGCAGGGTGTACCGAAGGCCACAGCCTCCCTGGGGACATGAGACAAGGTGAGAGCCAAAGAAACCGGATGGGAGCTCTGAGGTCAGGAACCCTGTCTTGGTCATCTCTGTAACGCAGGTCTCTTCCAGAGTGTCTGGTGTGTGCAGATGCTCAGTGAATGCTTGGTGAATCATTGGGTGGATGGTTAGATCAACAAACCAATCAAAAACTGAATCAATGAATCAAAATACTGTAGACCACAGTGAGTTTCAGCTGTGCTGGTTTAGATAATAACAATACCACCAACATTGACCTTTTTCTCGTATTTGGATAGTAAAGACTAAAGAATATTCTCTTGTAAATGTTCTCAATGTTAGATGAGGTGGCCATACCAGGTTGGAAGAGGCTGAATCCATAGAGGGCTAGCTGAACTCGGAGAAGATGAGAATAACAATCAAAGCTGAGGAAGTGATGATGCTGGAGGAGTCCTGGCTGGGCCCCAGGACTCAGCAGACCAAGTTCAAATCCCTGCTTCACCATGAGCTACATGACACCCCAGGGCCTCAGCTTCTTTGTGTGTAAAATAAGGATGATGATGATAATCCTATTTCTGCCTGCCTGGCATCTATGCCTCCATATTCTGGCAACAGCACGCTGGTTTTCCTGTGGCAACCACCCCACCCCTACTCTTGGCCCATGTGATTGGAGTAGGGGCTGACTCCACTTCCTAGCTCCAGAAGTGTAGTCCATATCCCTGGCCACAAGGATCGGGTCAGGAATGGGCACACGACCAAGTTGGCCCTATGATAATCAGCTTTAGAACTTTTCCTGGACTATCAGAAAGCAGAAGCCCTGGTGGTGCAGTAGTTAAGAGATTGGCTGCTAACCAAGAGGTCGGCAGTTCGAGTCCATCAGCCTCCTTGGAAACCGTGTGGGGCAGTTCTACTCTGTCCTATAGGGCCGCTATGAGTTGGAATTGATTTGACGGCAATGGGTTTTTTGGGTTTTATTAGAAAGCACATGCTTTTTTTCAAGTGAGGTTACAAAGCTAGTAGGATGTAGACCTGGGACTATGAAACCAACACAGAGGAAACAGAACAAGAAATGTGGTAAAGATATTGTGGGTGCCTGGATCCAGCCAAGCCTGAAGCCACAACTACCCTTGGTCTTCCGAGTTGGACTTTTTGCTGAAAAAAGTTTGAGCTGGGTTTCTGTCACTTGCAATCTAAAGACTCCTGACTAATAACTTCTTCACGGTACTGTCATGAAGATTAAACAAGGTGATGTATGTGACAAGAAAAAAAATCTACTGCCACCAAGTCAATTCCCACTCAAGTGACCATATAGGACAGAGTAGAACTACCTATAGGGTTTCCAAAGCTGTAAATCTTTAGGGAAACAGACTGTCACATCTTTCTCCCACAGAGCTGTTAGTGGGTTCAAACCGCCAGCCTTTCAGTTAGCAGCCAACCACTTAACCACTGTGCTACCAGGGTTCCATGTATGTGATAGAGCCTTATATAAAGTGATGTGCTATGCACAGGTAAATTGTCATTCAGTCCACAAGCCCTGAATCTCTAGGTGCAATCTCTCTCTCTAGCAGCTGCTTCCCTTCGGGTACTACAGGGAAGAGCTCATTCAGTCCCTTTGAGCCCCAGGGTAGAGATGATCCAGTTGGGAACATCAGGAGACTGGGCCAGTGCAGAGAGGTCCCCGTAGACGGCTGTACTCGTCATGGGCAGGTAACAGGGAGGGAGGACAAAGCCCAGAAACGAAGGGAAGAGAAACATCATGCTTGCCCCATCTGGAGGGAGTGACACAGGGGAGGGGCAGAAAATAAGGAACACCCCAGGGCCACTCCTGCTTTCCTGCATTAGCTGAAACAGGGTCTCATCCTGGGACTAATAAATTAAAAAGTCGTCCCGGATATTAAACATGCCTGCCTGATAAAGGAATCCTAAGTGAGGTGGGAAGATCCCTGGGCGGCAAAAACAGTTTGTGCTCGGCTACTAATCCAGAGGTTGGTGGTTCGAACCTACCCAATGGCACTGCAGAAGAAAGACCTGGCGATCTGCTTCCATAAAGATTACAGCCAAGAAAACCCTATGGAGCAGTTCTACTCTGTAACATATGGGGTTGCCATGAGTCAGAATTGACTCAACTACAATGGGTTTCGTCTTTTTTTGGTTTAAGTGAAGTGGGGGAGAAGGAAGCATGACATGCCCCAAAGGCCTCCATTCCATGTCTCCACCTCCCTGAAGGCTTCCTGAGAGAATACTCTTCCTGTTCTCCGAAGTCTGGGCCCTTCCCTCTCTGGGTGCCTCCTAAGGCTCTCACTGTCTCCTCTCACTGGAGGCACTGGGTCCAGTCTCATCTCCCCTTTCACATGGAAACTCACTTTGGACAACCTCAGAGCCTTCCCAGACCCGGCAGTTTGCAGGCTGAGGCTTGGCCGGCCACAGGGGGCTCTGCTGAGCTGTGGGGACAACCTGTCCCAGCCCTGGGCTGTGCTTCTCAGAGGCCAGTTGGGACTGGTTTTATTCAGCTCTGGTCCAGCCTCTCTGCACTAGGAAAGCCCTGTCTGGGTCACAGCGTCAGGTCTGCATCTGGTGGGGAGGCTGCCAGCCTGGGCCTCTCCCAGCTGGAAACCACAGAGGTCACTGGGAACAAAACTGCCTGGTGTGCATGCGTCACGTACACGGACACGATGCTAATATTCAGAGTCAGCATGAGCAATGCATGACACGTATGTGCTTCTGGACGCAGAGACTCACCAGAACCACAAGGCACCACAGGATTATGGAAGGGCCCAGGACCGGGCAGCATCACCATGAATATGTGGACAGGACCTGTGTATCACCACGGCCCTTTAAGGAAGGTCTGCGGCCAAGTGACCAGGCCACTAAGCCCAGGACAGAAGAGGCAGCAATGTCTCAGCCAGATGTATGGCAGAAGCAACTCAGACACCCCCAAAGTAAATGAGACAGCAAATGGGACACAAATGATTCGGGGGAAAAAACTCCAGAAGAAATAGAAAATATTAATCCCAAACTGTAAAGCCCCAGAAGAAATGCCTAAAATAAAAAGTGAAGCAGTAACCATGTCTAGCACGAGAGGCAGATCAGTTTGCGTACGTTGGGTCCAACTCCAGGTTGAGTAGCAGACACCAGGCCCTGGGCAGGGGGTGATGGGGTCTGTGGAAAATTACTGCTCAGGGCCTGGTCCATGGGCCCTAAGAGTCCCATCCTGCCTCTGCTGTGTATGTAAGTCCCCCGCCCCTGGCCCCTGCCGGCACTCACACACACAGCGGCTCCGAGACGGGTCCAGCATGAGGCCAGATCTGCACGTGCAGAGGTAGCTGCCCCTGGTGTTCACGCACTCCGAGTCCTTGCAGAGGCCCAGGACCAAGCACTCGTTGATATCTGCAGGGATGAGAAATGATCCAGCACCCACCCACCAAGGCCTGACGACGGAGGGGAGGGTCTGGGGCAGGGATCTCCAAATCCTTTCTCCAAATAAAACAACAACAACAGCAATAAAATAGCTGCCATTTATTAAGTGTGACCCCCTCTGTGTGTGTCAATTTCCTCATTTGTAAAAAGGGGGTAATACTGGTAACTACCAGGTACAGTTGTTATAAGGATAAAATAAGATAACAATTATAAACCACGTAGTCTAAGACTTAATGTGGGATAAGATGATAATATTAAGAGCTAATGTTTACTGAGTGCCTATTGCATGCCAGGAGTCCCTGGGTGGCACAAACATTTAAGTGCTCAGCTACTAATGGAAAGGTTGGAGGTTCAAACCCACCCAAAGGCACATTGGAAGAAAGGCCCGGTGATCTGCTTCTGAAAGGTCACAGCGTTGAAAACGCTATGGAGCACAATTGTACTCTGCACACATGGGGTCCCCATGAGTCGGAATCGATTTGACAGCAACTGGTTTGGTTTTGGTTTTTTACCGTATGCCAGGAACTGTGAAGGGAGCTTTACATATGAACTGAAAAAACAAAACAACTACAACAAAAACCGTTGCCATGGAGCGGATTCCGACTCATAGCGACCCTATGATGCCCCATTTAATTTTCGCAAGCAATTCTATGAAGCAGGCCCACATATCCTCGTTTCACAGGTGAAGAAACCAAGGTAAGTGGTATGCTGGGATGCAAACAGAGGAAAGAAGTCAAGGGGGGCTGCTTGGGCTGGAAGGTGGAGAATGTGCAGCTGAGTCCCTTGAAACTCCCTCAGTCAGTCATCTGGTCCTACTTCCTATCTGCACTTAAACCCCCTGTGGTGACAATGCCATAGCTGTCCCTGGACCTTGCCCCTGGGCAGACTCTCTAATGCAGATCACCCTAGCCTCAGCTGGCCTTACAGCGCCCATCAGCCAGGCCACCCTTTCTGGTCTCCACCCTGGTTGTGGGGTTGAGGCAAGTGGGAGGGAGGTCTGAGTGGCTGACGGTGCTTTGTTGGGAAAAGCCCACAGAGGTCCCTGCCCACTCAGGCTGACTTGATCTCCTACCCTGGATCAAAAGCTGCCCCATTTCAAGGAAACCAGCCTGGGAGGTGAATGGATGTCCAGGGACTGGGTGACACCCTTCAGACACAGCACCACACAATCATCGAGGGGCACCTGGCCCATGTTCTGGGTAGGAGTGAGTGGAGATGGGGAGAGAAGAGGGCCTCAGCTCCCAGGACCTTCCCTGACTCCCTCTATCAAACAAGTCCCCTGCCTTCCTTAGGTCCCTGGAACCAGTCACTCTTACAGTTCCGCCAAAGGACCCAGCAGACATCCCCAGGCAGTGCTAGCCGCTCCCCCTGTCTGGGTAGGGTTGGTGCACCTGCATCATCTGACCTCCTTCCGTCCCTTACCCTCCCCAGGCCCAGCCCTGCCCCTGGTTGTCCTTACCTTGGCAGTGAGTGAGGTTCAGTCTCTTGTAACCCTGGGGACACTCCAGCTGGCCATTTTCAATCACCGGGGAGGCTGAAGAGGGAAGATACAGACAGGTCTCACTGGAGGGCCTTAGGCTCCTCTGCCATGCTTGCTGGGAAGTGAGGTGTCTTCTAGATGCCCAGCCCACTCAGCAACTGAGCCCCGTCCCCTGTGCCATCACCCTAGACAGCTGTGCCTCCTTGGCTGTAATCTTTTCTGTTGCTCTCACCACCCTCCTCTCAGCCGCCTGACTTCTTCTAAAACTTCTTACTAACTATGATTGCTTTTGTTGTTAGGTGCCACGTAGTCAGCTCCGACTCAAAGCAACCTTATGTATAAAAGATTGAAATGTTGCCCGGTCCTGTGCCATCCTCACAGTCGTTGCTATGTTTGAGCCCACTGTTGCAGCCACTATATATATATCTATACGTATAATGTATTTATAGTTATAATATTATATAAACAAACAAATGAACAAAAAACCCAAACCCATTGCCGTCGAATAGATTTCAACTCATAGCCACCCTATAGGACAGAAAAGAACTGCCCCATAGGGTTTCCAAGGCTGTCATCTTTACGGAAGCAGACTACCTCAACTTTCTCCTGCAGAGGGGCTGGTGGATTCCAGCTGACAATCTCTTTGGTTAGCAGTTGAGAGCTTAATCATTGTGCTAGCAGGGCTCCTTTATAATATTATATACAGCTTGTACTATACTGTATTCATATTATGCTATATAAGATGTGATTAAATGTATTTTATTATTTTTGTTACTTTTTGTTTGGAAATAATTTTAGATTTACAGGAAGTTACAAAAACAATACAGAGAAGCCCCATGTACCCATCACCCAGCTATTCCTAATGGCTACATTTTACATAACTATAGTTTTATTATTTTTAAACACTGGACAACAGCAGTTGGCAGTCTGGTTCTACGCGCCATTGATTTTGATACTTGGTTTTAGTGGCTGTCAGAGCTAACAAGGTAGCCCAGACCAGGAAGGAAGAGCTTCAACGCTGATCACACTTATAAAACCATGACATTCATTTTTTACTCCCATCCACCAACTGCGCAATGCTTTTGATGACATTTGGCTAGTAAATTTCCATCTTCCCTGAAGTCGGTTGGTCTTACAAATTCATCAGTGAATTGCAATTTTATTTTTTTACCAAATGTGTTCAAGTCCACAGAAGAGCTGCATTTGGAAGATTTTTAAATATGTTGGAAGATTTCATTTCTCAAGTCTTTCAAGTCTGCAAATGGATACGGTTTTCAGCAACCAAATCACATAACGGTGGAACAGTTTCCAAATATCTATTTTCAAAAGGCTCCCTCTGTAGCACAAGCCTGTTGAAAAGCAGCCCTGCTTAAGTCTGTAGCAGACAAAACTGGGGAGATGTCTGACAACAAGAAAACTGTTCTCAGTATTTTGGTGCTGATACACGTCCTGGTTTGACTTCCCAACATCTCCCCTTACTTAACAGAAAAATAGAAGTGTCCTTTTTTTTTTTCTTTCTTTAACAATTGACATTAAATAAGAACACAGAAAATATCTCCTTTTCTTTGGAGGAAAAGCGTATCAATTTTTTTTAAAGCTCTAAAAAAACCAGTTGCCATCAAGTCTACCCAACTCATGGCGACCCCATGTGTGCCAGAATAGAACTGTGCTCCATAGGGTTTTCCATGGCTGATTTTTTGTAAGTAGATCACCAGGCCTTTCTTCCAAGGCACCTCGGGGTGGACCCTAACATCCAACCTTTCAGTTAGCAGCCAAGAGCATTAATTGTTTGTATCACCCATAACATCTTGAAAAACTCTAGCAGGTAGTACACTACAGACAGCCAATTGTCATAGAGAAAGGCGACAAATTTGGAACATATGTCTTTTTGTAAAAAAAATCCAAAAAACTAAAAAAGATGACTCAAAATCTTTAAATTTCATAATTACCTTGCCAAGAGATAGTCAGACATTCTCAAGGGGGATAAAGGATCTTAACAGACACTCTTTATTCTAATACAAAGTGCCAGAAAGATACCGTTATACTTTAAAGATCTTGTTTTACAAAGTTAACCACATGATGCCTTCCTGTAGCAATTTGTCTTCTTCTTGCTTCCATTTCTTCCTGGCAATAGCTTGCCTATGAATGTTGCTCTGTTGCTTTACTCAATCATAGCATCAGAAGTTACATTTATAGAGTTGTTTCAGAAAACTCATTTTTATTCCAGAAGTCCATTCACTACTGAGAAGATATGTTCTCTGGTTTATCTTTTCTTTGTTGTTGTTGTTGGGTGCCATTGAGTCAATTCTGACTCATAGTGACCGCATGTGACAGAGTAGAACTGCCCCACAGGATTTCCTAAGCTATAATCTTTACGGAAGCAGATCACCAGGTCTTTCTCCTGTAGAGCCGATGGGTGGGTTCGATTTGCCAACCTTTCGGTTAGCAGCCCATCGCTTAACCATTGCACTACCAGGGCTCCTTATCTTTTCTTTAGTGGCTCACAAAAAAGATAGTTCTATAAACAAACTATGGAACATACACACAAGGTACTTCACCCTTCAGGCAAAGATTAGACAGGTCTATAAAACGAACAATAACACACGTGACGAATGTGCTTCATAGTTCAACCATGTATACGAGACTAAATGGGCACATCAGCCCAAAAAGAAAGACGAGAAGGCAGGAAGGGATAGGAAAACTATGCAGCGATAAGGAACAATGATGAATCTGCAAAACATCTCACAACATGGACGAATCTGGAGGGCATTATGCTGAGTGAAATAAGTCAATCACAAAATGACAAATACTGTATGAGAACACTATTATAAAAACTCAAGAAAAGGTTTACACACAGAAAGAAACAATCTTTAATGGTTACAGGGAAAGGGAGGGCTGGGAAGCGGAAATCACTAATTAGATAGGAGATAAGTGGTAACTTTGGTGAAGGGTAAGACAGGACACAATCCTGGGGAAGTCAGCACAACTTGACCAAGGCAAAGTCACAGAAGCTTCATAGACACATCCAAACTCCCTGAGGGACCGAGTTACTGGGCTGAGGGCTGGGGACCATGGTCTCAGGAGACATTTGGCTCAACTGGCGTAACATAGTTTATAAAGAAAATGTTCTGCATATGGCTGTGGTGAGTAGTGTCTGGGGTCTTCAAAGCCTGTGATCAGCCATCTAAGATACATCTACCAGTCACATCCTGTCTGGAGTAAAGGAGAATGAAGAAAACCAAAGACACAAGGGAAAGATAAGTCCAAAGGACTAATGGACCACAATTACCACAGCCTCCACCAGACTGAGTCCAGCACTACTAGATGGGCCCGGCTCTAATAGGGATTATGATAGATGGTCCCAGACAGAGTGGGAGAAAAATGTAGAACAAAATTCAAACTCACAAAAAAAAGACCAGACTTACTGGTCTGACAGTGACTGGAGAAACCCCAAGAGTATGGTCCCTGGACACCCTTTTAACTTAGTACTTAAGTCACTCCTGAAGTTCACCCTTCAGGCAAAGATTAGACAGGTCTATAAAACAACAATAACACACGTGAGGAATGTGCTTCATAGTTCACCATGTATACGAGACTAAATGGGCACATCAGCCCAAAAAGAAAGACGAGAAGGCAGGAAGGGATAGGAAAACTGGATGAATGGAAATGAGGAACCCGGGGTGGAGAAGGGGAGAGTGCTGACACATTGCTGGGTTGGCAACCAATGTCACAAAACAATTTGTGTATTAATTGTTTAATGAGAAACTAATTTGCTCTGTAAACTTTCACCTAAAGCACAATAAAAAAAAAAAAGATAGTCTTTCTATATTTTATTGTTGAAATAGAATCTTGCAAACACCAATAGACATGCTAGAAATATCTGTACTTTCATTCAATTGTATAGCAAAGTTTTTATTGTCTCAATATTTTTAAATGTTTTTCTAAATCAAGATGGCTTTTACTCTATATCATTAACTGCTACTTCAAGGCATATACATTTAATACAAAGTTCATTATTAATGATAGTGGATATACATCCATATTTCATAGAGTCTTCTTGATAATTTATATTCTGGGATATATTTTCAGTTGGATCATCATCATTTTTGCTTTCTAATGAGACTAATTACATATGAGAGGTCACGGGAAGAAAAGAAGTATCAGCATTGCATTTTTTTAATGATTGCTTATGATTATATTATTGGTATTATTTTGAATCCATAGTTTCTTTGCAGGAATCTTTTAGAGTCACTTATCCTTTTTTTTTTTTTTTCTTTTTATTGTGCTTTAGATGAAGAGCAAATTAGTTTATAATTAAACAATTAATACACATATAATTAAACATTAATACACACCCTGCGATGTGTCAACATCCTCCCCCTCTTATCCATTTTTTTGAGGGTGAGTTTAGTTAACAACAAACAACATAATTGGAAATCCAGTAAACCAACCACTGTGAACCACACTATGTTGTAATATGCCAAAGACAAACACGAGGAGGTGCCATATTTTCTTGGACCCCCTACTACTCCCTGAGGACCTGACATATCACACCCTGACACACAGACAGACCAAGTGAGGGCATAAATTAGTAAAGCTTAATTTTTCTTTTTAAGATGAAAAAATGTCAGTTGAAGATCTGGTACTTTTTCTCGCTCTGGGCTTGCACATTCCAGCGTGGGGCCTAGGCTCCAGACTAAAAGGCTGTTCTTTCAGAGATAAATGTGGTTTCTGAAAATGCTGATATTGAGACGAAAGGATGGGACTGAGGGTGGGGAATGTGAGTGTCCCTGGCATGGGGCCTGGTGGTATGAACTGAAGACAGGGAGGAGGAAAGAGAAGAGAGAGGAAGTTGTTTGGAGAGATCAGAAAGCAGGCTGATTAGATGCAGGCTGTGAACATTATGAGGAGCAGAAGATGAGAAAGAATAACCCAAGACCGATGCCAGAGGCCAAGGAGTAATCATAAGTTAACATTTGTACAGTGCTTCATGGTTGCAAGGCCATTGGTGCATAATACCCTGTCTGTCCTGTCTTTCTCACAATAACCCTATA